GTCCTCCGCATAGATTTTGGTTTGAGTTGGGACCTGTTCTCGATGTATGTTGAATTAAATCCACAGTCATGAGCTATTGAAGTGTGCTACATGGCTTTGCCATCAGTTCCTTTTGGGCTTAGCTTCTGGGGTGATGGTTCTGTCCCCATCTGCAAACGACCATCTCAGGGCAGCACAGTTGGGCGAGCGATGCGCAATGTCCAGGCCCATGCGAAGGATCCTCAGCAGAAACACTGATGAGGACAACATAAAATGTGTTGGGAAGTTGGGATGGGACCTGCATGGTGGTGAACTATGTGTCATGTCGCGGCACTAATGAAATTATGCTGTGACAGTGTGCATATGTATGTGTTGGATACACACAGCACCATGTGCGAAAAGTCCCAAAGTCCATCCATGAAACTGCCCTGTAGGAAGGTCTCACAAACAATGGATTGAACATACCAATGACGGATTATTATTGTCCATGTTTCGGGTTAGGACTGTTGGTCTTGAGGATTCTGGACAACTTGGGATTGCTGGCATTGCGCAAAAGCTGGGGAGATTGTGTCCGAAGAATGCCAGCAGGGACTGGTGGTGCTGGCTTGGAGGAGGTCCTGCGACTTGTCACAGCATTAGTGAGTCAAACAATCACCAGATCTACCTGAATTTGTAAACAAAACAAAAACTATAGAAAACGAGTCATGAATGAAAGAAGCAGTGGTGGTGAATACACTGAATACACCCCTGGTTGCCATCAAAACAGTAAGTTGTGTGTGCTTTACTTGTTGGTAGCTGTGATTGATTAATACACACATTAACATGTGCAGCCCCAGCTTGTGCAATAGACTGACTATTGAAAGAGGCTATCCCGATGTGAATTCAATAGCCAACCAATGAGTGTGCATGTATACACCTGCACCAAATCTAAGAACACTTTGCATAAATAAGTGCAGTGGCAGGGAAGATACGTGCATGCATGTGCTTGGCACAAACCAGACAGTTGCACATCCTGTCTTTGGAACATGGTTCCCTAAATTTTGAGATTGAGGCAGTGTCCTCAATTGATTTACCTGTGAAATACTTGGACAGTGACGGCAAGCCAACAGTGGTGGTAGAGCCCTGGCCTATTTTGGACATCCATGACACACTCAGCTTTTTGATGGATGAGGCCAAGATCAGCATCCCTCCAAACAAACTGCGAGAATATTGGCAGAAGTCAAAAGAATTTGGAGAACCCTGGGCACAGGAGGTTGCTTCTTCAGAGATGGATACTTTAGTGCCAATTGGCCTGTATGGTGACAGTGCACGCGTGGATACGCGGTTTGGGCACGAGCATGTGCTTGCCCTCTTCTGCAACCTTATTCTGTGGCGCCCGAAGTCTGTTCGCTGGTCCAGATTTCTAGTCTTTGCTATTGCAGAGGAGAGGCTGACTAGTGAAACCCTGCCTGCAGTTTTGCGCAGGATGACTTGGTCGGCCAACCATGCCTTCTACGGATACTTCCCCAAAGAGGGTCACCTCGGTCAAAACCTAGCTGGTGCTGCCCTGCGAAAAGCGGGACAACCGCTGACCTCTTCTGGCTTCAAGTTCCAGGTGACAGAACTGCGGGGGGACTGGTCGTTTCATAAAAAGGTTTGGCGCTTTGGAAACAATACGCACTGGAATGGAGAGAATATTTGTCATCTTTGCAATGCCAAGGGCATTTCCCGTTCTTGGTCAGAGCTGTACTGGAACATCGAGAGCAACAATCACGAGACATTTACATTGACACAGTTCTTGGCAGAACGCATGCCGCCCCGCAAGATTTGAAGCTTGACTCAACATACGTATATACAGGCAGTTTCACGCGTGCACATGTGACAGGTGTTTTTGCTGACGCATGCGAACGATGCATGTTCTTTTTTCTGTTCAATTTACGAGGACGAGGACGTTATATAGGTTTTTGGATTAACCAACCTGGCTCTTGGTTCCTGTATCGTCCGAGTCCAAAGCTCATGCTCTGCCATGGCTGGCAACTGTGCCAGTGTTTATACATGTTGTGCCCTCTGCACACCATTCCATCATGTCCTTCTACTGAGGCCCCTTCATCGGCCTCTGCAGATTTCATCCCGCCACAATCCGATGGTGCTTAATGCACACTCTGAACCTTGGCCTATTATACATTGCCAACGGCGCTACTATGTGACTGGCCAGCATTGCGCAAGTATGTGTGGACCAAAACATGTTATCTGAGATATTAATTGTGTGTTTGTCCCTCATATGCCTACCATTTCCAGGGGCACAACAAAAGAATAGGTCAATGACCAACATCTCTTCTGACAAGCTCATCAAAGGCACTTGCTTCTGACAAGTGGATTTTGGGGAAGCATGGAGGATCCTTTGCATACACGGTTGCATCGAGCATACTTGCACTTCAAAGCGTGGTGCTCTCGAAACAGAATCCTGTGCAGCCAACCAGCCTTCCGTCCGAGAATGGTTTCTTGTGGACAATTAGTCTTAAGCTGTTCTATATTTTTATATTTGTTTTGTGGGAGATTGTGTGTGTCAGCTTTGTCTCATCTGCTAAAGCTTTGAGCTTAATGAACGTTGTGAACTAAGTTATACCAGACCAATGGCGATGTGATGCTGGTTTGCAAGGCATACAACGGCAGGGTGGTGACGCAATGGCTAGCTGAAACCATTACGGTGATATCTGACCAAGACCATCCCAACCACACTGATGACCGCATTGCTCCTGTGGCCATTTGCATGTTTCTTGCCTGTACATAAAACATGATTTTCCTTGGGATTGCAATCCAACATAACCATGGTACCAGGTTTGAACAAAAAACAATGCATTGGTTTCAACCTATAGTGCATTCTGGCATATATATCGATTGAACAAACCTTAAGCCCACTATGAAGAACATGCATCTGTTGGGCAATGCACCACTCCCACACTCCGACCACAAAGTACCAAGCTGAGAGTCAAAGCATCCGTGTGCCCAGGCTCCATTTGGCCAGGCTCATGCTGAACATCGAGAAAGCCGGACGGTTCCTGCACCTTGCCTGTGTGTTGTGGAGTTGTGTTGGTAATGCGGGCATTGAAGTGGTTTGGGGTGCATACCCACGGGGTTGGTTCAATGGCTTTGTTCATAGTATTCCAGAAGCAATGGTTTATCAAAATAGTTGGTCATATGATACATAATATATAATGTACTAGAACAAATCATAGTAGATACTTTTAACAACTGGTGAACTTGGATGATGCCACCTTTGCCAAACAAGTAGTTGACGCCTCAAGGACTGAGGAGGAGTCCAACGCGATCTTCCAAGATGGTTGCAGCTTCATTCGGCTGTACTTGGCATTGGCTCAATTGTCAGTGAGGACTGCTAGCTTGGGAGGGATCTACCATGACCTCACACATTGCTTGCCCTAGCAGCTTCAAACTGTTCAAAGAGGTTCTCAAAATCCTGAAGAGTCTTGGTGCTGGGAGGGTCTGAGCGACGGCCGATCAATGCAGGAGAGGATGTCAAGAATGGTTTATTCGACCAAAACTCCATGCCACTTGGCTGTCTGCTTGGCCAGTGTCAGTGTGCATGATGTTTTCCATGACCTCTAAGCATTGCAAACCATGATGAGGTCTCCAGTTTCAATCATGTGCTTCTATTACTGTGCTTTTCTTCTGGATAGTGAGGCGCTCTGGCACATCTTGGTCTCTGCCAGAGACAACAGAACCTGGCCCACAAATTTATATACACCACCAATTTTACTATTCAAGTCAACCACCTTTTGAGTGTGCTTGACATAAACCAGACGCGTATAATTCCCAGACATCATCTCCCCAACATGGTCCAACATGGTACAATATCGCTTGTGCTGCCATAAGGAAGCAACCCACGATTCTACCACTGTTTTGTGGATGAGGATGCCATGGCTTGGACAAAAAGCAACTTAGCGGATGCGCTTATGGGTATGAGGTCACACTTGCAGTCTTTAATGCAGTATGAGCGGATTGACTCAAACCATTGATCTATATCAACTTGAAAACAACTCGTCTAGAGTGGATCTCTGCTTGCTATAGGATCTCTCATCAAGTAGTCACCACTAGTGCCAGTGCACCTGTTGTGTGCATGTGCATTCTACACATGTACAACCTTCTTTGTTGCTTGTTTATCTCAGGCACATACCTGAAGGCCCACCCTCACCATCGAACCAGGTGGATCACAAGATGTGGCAAGATGCGGCCACTAGACGAAGCTGGGGGTTGTTTCAAGGGTTGAGGTGTTCACTGAAACAGTCGATCTAGTATTCTTGATTATTACCTTCCATCTACTTCCCTGTGCTGATCTCAGGATCTGGGCGACCAAACACAAGGTGAAACAGTGCCTTGGAGAATGATATGGAGACCTTGAGATATTCTTCAATGCCTTACATGTATTCCACTTGTGCACTTCTTGGTCACAAGAAATGACTGTGAACACTTATAGGATCTTATAGGGAATTCATTCCCAAATGGTGATCGAGCCAAGGATGAACAAAGAAGTCGCCACAAGACTGGCGAGGGGACGTGGGTAGTGAAAAAGGCTGTATCGATGTGATTGTGTGCAGCGGCAGGTGTTTGTGAATGTGGAGGGGTTGGGTTTTTAAGTTTGCGACTACTTTGAGAAACCGTTGCTTCTGGAAGAACTATTTTTTAAATAGGCTTATGAACCCTGGGGTATATATATATGCATTTTGCGCCAATTGAAAGGACACTTTTGTCTTTGGCAGGCTCTGAAGGCCTCCAGCTTGGAGCATACGCAAGAGCTGGAGCAGTGGAAGACCCTCTCAGAGAAGGTCTCCGACGTGCGCCGAGGACCTCCTCGTCGGCCCCAGTCGGCCGAGGGCGAAGCGAGTGGGGGGAGCAGTGGAGTTATAGATCTCCATGCATGAAAGAGATGGATAAGAATCACTTTAAAAAAGAAAACACATGGCTCAATTTAGGGAACATATGCCATTTTTGCTGATTGTTTGTTTGGATATCTCAAGGAAAATCTAATGGGTGCTTACCTAAGGTGGTTCCGAACGGCAAGCTTCGGCTCAACGTGCATCACCCGGGTCCGGCATCGTCCGGTGCGCCGTCCAGACGGCCTCACCGGTGTAGACCATTTTGCCTTCAAAACAAGAACTACCCCGTTTGGGCTCCAGTCGTACCTTCTTAAAAGGTGTTTGGGGAGGGTTTAGAAGGTCCAGTCATACCTTCTCATGGAGGTACGACTGACACCCTAGGGTTCTGTAAGAACCTTTAGAGATGTCATGAGAGATCAGATTGACAACATCCACCTTTTTCCGTCCACAAATGTCTGGTTTTGCCCCACTTTTCGCTTTTGGTCCCCAAGACATGGCTTCACTGTCCAACTGTCTAACACCCATCACCACTTCCGCGAGGACTCGTGGTCGAGCTGGAAAAAGCGCAGTCCACCGGTAGGCGAGTGTTCTGACCGACTGTCAGAACGTTCAGAACTGGTGTTTGCCTGGTGTTGCGCATCGGATGCAGTTTAGTTTCCCTATGATCGAATTATACCCAGACACTCCATGGGACTGCCATATATGCCGATCAGTTGGGGTGGTTTTGGGGGTCAATGTAGGCATATATGGCATACATGGAGTGTCTGGGATATAGTGAATCCCCAAAAACGGGAAAGAGGTGTATTTTTCCCAATGCCTCAAGCAAATCCAAGATTGAACATGGGAATCAAGCCCATGCGCAGCTCAATCAAGTCTCCAACGCTGGCTACCATCCAAAACATTGCCTTTTCCACTTCAACAGTGCGCAGATTTATAGGTAATTTAGTGTAGGCTTGACACGGGTGTGTGAAAACAGCGAAAAAGGTCCCTCACCCGCTCTGCCGCGTTGCTGCGTTGCTTGCAACAGCGCCGTTTGTCGGGTGCGAGACGCTGCGAGACTGCAGACGGCAGGCAGCACGACGAGTCGTTGCGCCTTTGCGAGAGCCGGCTGGAGAAGCTCTCCAGTGGTGTCTCCGAGATCTCGCAAGGCGCGATTTTTCGGGACGCGTGGTTTTTCGTGGTTGTTTCCGGTATGCAAGAGTCGGTCTACGCGGGGCGGTAGATGCGGATGAAAGCACAGGTATACACGATGGCAAGGTGGCAAAACGAGTGGATCGATGACTGGTGTGATGGGATGTTCGGATGTTCTGTCAATGTTCCATGGACATACCAGCACCCGACTCTACAGGTCTCCGAAATGGAGGGTTGTTAGGCTCTAACAGGTTTCAATTGGTGACCTGTTGGAGGGAGGGTGCTGGTAGTCATACGCAGTGTGAAATTGCCATGGATTGCCACAGGATTCCGGGCGAATGAATCGAAGTGGACTCTTTGGACTCCAGGTCCAGACTACTAAATCTCGTGCAGTCATCCTGGAGATGTTTGTTGGAACCCGGAGTCGTCAGGGTTTGATATTAGACCATTGTCTCCTCAAATCCTCAAATGGTGGTGTTTGGGGCGTCCATTCCTTTTTGTTTGCCAATCCTCAAAAGACCAACCCACCCTGCACAGGTTGCCCTGCACAGGGTGCCCTGCACAGGGGCCATGTGTCATGTGTCATCCTCTCGGAGCTCTCACCTTCCAAGATCCACTCCCCCAAAACGAATGCCATCGGATCGCAATGGGGAGATCGCAACCCAGGATCAGTGATTTACTTTCCCAATGGATCCCTGCGTCCCTCTTCAAGATCTTTCGTGTTTATTTTTTTTGGGGGGGGGCTGGGCAAAGAATCCAAGAAGCGAACCCCCAAGCAGCCCACTGCTCACTGCATGCGCCGCGAAGCGCTTGAAACCGCGTGCGCGCGCGCCGTTTCTGTGCCTCTGCATGGGCCACCTGGCCGAGGTGTGGTCGATGCAAAGGCCTTGGCGCAGAAGGGCGTGGATCGAGCCCAGCAGAGCTTCGAGCTCACGCAGCAGCGTGCGGTCGAGCTGAAGGACTCAAACCTCCACCGTGGAGCTGCACTGGAGTCGAGTCGAGTCCCGTGCGGTGTCAGGAAGTTTCGGAACTCGAAGGGGTCACTGGATGTTTAAAGTGTTCTTTTGTTTGTGGGTGCTTGGTGCGGTTGATGTTCAGCAACTGATCAGCTTACTTGATGAAATTCGATGCAATGAGTGTGTTAACTTTGTCCATCAGCCAAATATGTAATGTGCAATTCATTGCACCGCAGTCCCAGACAGACGTCGTTGGCAAGTGCAAGAGCAAAAAAGAGCATCATCAGCCAAATGAACATGTCCGGATTCTGTTGCGATGTGTTAAGTAGATCTTGATCTTCTGTTTCGCTGCTGTCAGTAGCCAAGTCAAGGGCTGGCACGTGCGCAGAAGATCATTCCGCATAGCAACTCCTTGAAAATGACAAACTTGGGGATGAATCAAGAATGAGGCCATAAATGTGTGTGTGTATGAACATATAGGGAGACCTCTCAGTTCGACCCCCCCGGAAGAAAGAATATCGGTCTACGGTTTACCCTCCGTTTGAGTGTCTCTCTATTAAACTTCACACCCATGTTCGGTTGCAACATTCAATGGGATCTTGTGGGAGAGATGCAATTGATTGGCGGGCGAACTTGGGTGCGATGCTTTTGCAAGACCACACAGTGTGGCAAGCCTGCAGCGTCACCAAGACTTCAACACGCAGTGTGCCTTTCTTTTTTCCGAGCTCAACCATGGAACGGACACTGTGAGTTGTGTGCCTGTGCTTTTTCAGCACATGGAGACCTTGGTTGACGCTTTTTCAGCACTTGGAGACCCATGTCATATGATCTTTTTACTATATATTTTTTAAACATCTATATTAGCCATTAGCCCATCGATCCATCCCAACGAAACCATCCGGGACCCTTTCTTGGACGGATGGTGACCGCAGCTGCGAGCCGAGCCGACAGACACACGCAGCTTCAGGAGCTCCTCGAGCAGCAAGGCGCCGACACCGGGCCCAAGCTGGAGGTGCCCTGCCGGACCGCGCCTGGTCGGATCGGTCGGATCGGATCCCGGTTGGGGGGGTTGGTTCGGGTGAGGAGGTTGGAGGGTTTGAGGAGGTTGGAGCTCAGTGTCAAAGGTTTGCACCACATTCTATTCTTCATGTTGCTCGTCAGGGTGGCCAAGGTCATCAAAAGCTGACTTCTTGTAGTGCCTATCAGGGGCCCCACAAACCATCAAAAACCAGGTTTTCCCTAGCAAAAAACATGGTTTTGTATGTGAAAACCTTTGTTTTTCATGGTCAACTGAGGGCCCCTGGTACTAACCCACCAGAGAAGATCGGCAAAGGCCTGTTCCATGGAGCTTAGATGTTTCAGACGAGGCCCCCCGGCGGGTGGTCCATACCTGTACCTTCCACCGATGAACTGTTTGGTTGTTGCCCTTGGGCCATTTTCACAGGCAAAATTGCATCAACATATCCATCCCATCCATCCGTCCGTCCATCCCTCCATCCATCCATGCATCCATCCATCCATCCATCAATCCATCCAGTTCGATCAAAGTGTTTTCACCGGAGTTCCAACAACGAAAACTTCCTGGTTTTTACAAGTCGAGTTCCAGTTTCTTCAGTTCGTGCGTGACCTCGGTGGACTTCCATACAGTGACCCTAGTAGTGACCCTATAACTGACCTCAAACCAGGGGATCAAAAGGTCCCTTGAAGAACCAGGTGTTGAAAGCTCCTTTCGACCCGAACTTTCATCCCCTTTCTCAGCTTCTTCATACTTCTTCCTTTCCAAAGCTCTTTCACCAGATGGAGTACTCTTTTGTCGTTTCTCTTTTCGACCCGCGGCAAAAACAATACAAAACCCAGAAGTTCTTATAGGCCTTCTGGTCTGGCTATGTAGGCCGCGCCCCCCCCAACAAAGAACAGTCGGCTGCGGACCGACTCACAGCTCAACGGCTTGCTCCGCCGAAGCACCGCCGCCCCCCGCGCTCCGCAGGCGTTGCGGAGTGCTCAGGCGGAGCACTCGAAGCAGCTGGAGCAGTTGGGCCGCAGTTGTGGAGACCTCACCGAGGCACGTCGAGGCACCCTGCCGCTGGAGGACGTCGGGGAGGATTGGCTGGTTTTGGTCGTCCCACACTGAAGATGTTGATTTCTTTACAGTAGTTGACATGTCGCACATATCGATCTACAAAACTGATAGATCGTTTTGCCTGTGACCCATAATGCGAACTTCTGATTCCTGCATTTGCTTGGGTGTGATGTGCTAGAAAAAAAGCGGTGTGTGGTGAACACCTCGTCGTGCCTGTCCTTCGCAGCGTCTCGAGTCGCTGTTGCTTCCAGGTCTCCTTGCGGACGTGGAAAAGTGCCAATCTGCCAGCAGGCGACGGGATTCGTTGGAGTCGCGAGACTGCGTTTTGAGCAGACTTGTAGCATGATGCCTCTGGCTAGGGCACAGGTGTCCTAATATAGCCAGGCACAGAGGAAGAGATTAACAATTTTGATTAATCCTCAGATCAAGGAGTTCAGGAGGCTCAGCTGATGATTCATTCTCCAGGAACCATAGGAATCATGTGATTTGTGTTGAAGCCAAATGCAATCACGCGGGAAGTAGGCAACTGCTGGAATTTCGACACCGTTTTCAGCACTTTGCTACTATTCCCAAGCATGATTGGGTGGGAGAGCCACCCTGTTCGAAGTTGCTTTCCATTGAGCTTCCGCCGCCACACCGCCTCCGCACTACTTCTGTGGCGGTGCCGAGCGCCACCCCTGAGCAGTGCATGCAGGCAGTTGGAGGAAGCTCTGAGACATGCAGAGGTGAAGATCGAGAAGATCTCCTCCTTCTCGAACCAGCATTCTGAAGGCCACACCGCGACTGAACCAGCGATCTATTATGCAGTAACTTTTTAGTGAGATGTCATGAGAGTAGTCATATGAGTTGAGTCATGAGTGCCACACCAAGCAAGTTCCACCTCTCACGGATGAAGTTTTGGGAGGTCCATTTCAACCCATTCGAATAAGGCCTAAACCCGTTTCAATCTGCCTGACAGCGTCAGCTAGCATGAGATCCTTTCAATGCTGGGTAATCCTTTCAGGGGTCTCCTTTTCACCATGTTTCACCAGCCAGTGCGCAGTGTTTCGGCTGAAAACGTTTGGAATTGGGCCAAGACGCGTAGTACCCCTTTGATTTCCACATTATAAACCGCCCCACATGTTTTTCTGGGCCAAAAAAGCAGTGCCCCCGGGAATAGGAAGTGGACCTTCCAAGATATACGCTATATAATTGAAATAATCATGGAATTGAAAAAACCGAGCCTGTTTGGTCTTCGGAAAGATCATGGTCATCCGATTGGAAACCGGGGCCATGTTCCATGAGACCATTTCAGGAAGTGTATTCCCTGGGAGTCAAAGACTATATAAAGAATTGTCTTTTGGCCCTAGGCCCTAGGGATCCAAGTCCCTTCTCAGAAGGTACTTGGACCCTTCAAACCTACATAACAGTGTCTCCTTGCTCACCGAACCTGAAGTATATACTTGGATGTTTAGGGAGATGACCGACGAAAAGGAAGTTCCTTTTACTTCGTCCAAACATCGTCCAGACTTCATCCGGGTCTTTGGATTGGTCTTCCCAAGCCGCCGAGCATGGAGTCTCGGAACCGTGGCTTTGGTCGGGACATGTTGACAGACCACCGGACCCTTCCAGCGATGATGAACTCGGCGTTGGATCCAGGTTCTGGGTACTTTCCGACGAAGAGAGGTCTCATTCAAGTGCCAAGCACCCTGAAAAGCCAAGATGTTTCATAGAGAGAATGAGTCCTCCAACAGGTCTCCTCTAGTCGTGTTGGGGCCCTTTGACTGAATTGGGTGACGCAGGGAGGATGCTGGGGTTTGCTTATAAAGTCATACTCTCTGGGCCTCCAGTGGTACCTGCTGAGGTTCGGTGGGACTGGGGTGGGCCCGGAGGGTCGATCGGTCCGGAACCGCTGAGGTTCGGTACCACGAAGTCGGTGTAGGGGGTTTAGAACCAGTCCATTCCTGCAAAACCACCAGCTGGTGTAGCCAAACAAGTACTTGTATGGCAGTTGGTGTAGCAAAACAAGGCTCCCGGCTTCCACGTCATAGATCGTTTCCACCCAGCAGGCCTGGCCGAGGCCCGCACCTTCGCCCGGGACAGCGCCGAGAAGGCGGCGGTTCCACGGTCCCACCCGGCCACGTGCCGAGGGTTCCGTGTCTCTCTTGGCTTGGAGAATGAAATGGAAGAAGTCAGGTCATAGCGTTGAAAGTAGTATATCTCCATGGTCAGTAGAATCCCAGACCTGGTGACCTGGCTGTTTTTCCTGATCAGTTGGGGTGGTGAAAGGTTTTTCTTTTGGGGGGGGCGGCATATATTCCAGTCCCATGGATGGTCTGGGAATAGAAGGTGAAAGGAAGCCTATATAAATCCTCCTCGAAATGCTACAGGTCGAAGTTACACTTGTCCAAGAGAGATTCACCCAAGGTGAGCCTCTCATGAGACTCTCAGGCCAAACAAATAATTGAGGAAAAGCCTGCCTTGCCATGCCTAGTCTCATCCTTTTCTTTTTCCGCCCTTCGTCATCCCGCTGTGGTGCGCCCTCCTTCGCAGACTTCGACCATTCTCATGGAGCGACCCACGACCCAGGCGGTGCTGCAGCTGCGGCAGCTGCTGGAGAGCCAAGTCGCCGAGCTCAAGGCCTCCAGCCGTCGCGCCCGACGGTCGCCCCCGACGTCGCTCGGAAAGTCGACGTGCTCGTCCGGCGGACGAAGGTCATAGATAAAGCGCGTACCGTTGGGACCATCGAGTTCTGCTTGGAACCCATCACTTTTCGGATCTGGCAGCTTGGAACTCTTGAGCGATATCACCGGAGCAACCGGAGGCAGGTGCCATAGCTTAATCCGACGCTGTGTAGGCTCTGGACCTGTCGGTTTGTCGGGGCTTTGAACATGGAGATCCACAAGTAGTGTAGGGTAATGATTTGGAGAATATCTTTTTTAAACCTAAGGATCCGGACCCTCAAAAACAAGGGTTTGGTGAGGGTACCAACCCCCTGCTATGGAGGGTTCAACCCCTGCTATGGAGGGTCCAAGGATCCTTAGGGATTGGACTATACGGTCTTCTACGGTATGATGCGCAGGTCGCGTACGTCGTAACGGTGGCGACGTTCTGGGCTAAATTGGTCTTTTTTGGGGGTGCAGCGGGCAGTCCAGCCATCCGAAGACCAGTGGACTCGTATTCCACCAGTGACTCAGACAGACACGAAGAAGAGCAGCAAAGCTGGGTTCATGATGGCTCAAGTTGCTCACCGTCCACGAGGTCTATTTCTATCACAGGACCTGAACATTCAGAAAAAAGGATAGGGATATCTTATCTTGGGGATCAAGGTGTAGTTCCCCGGGTGCAAACATACACAGTGCACAACTGTGGGCTATCCCCGGATCGAAAAACCATCTTCCCACCACTTCTGAGTGATCCGGGTACTCTTTCAGAGTGGTCACCATCACCAGGACGGCTGGGGGTTGACCCCCTCCCTCCCCACGGTGGAAACACGACTGGTGGCGCCTCGATCCAGGAGCAGATGCAGGAGCAGATGGAGCGTCGAAGCGGAGATGCATTCAAGGAGCGGACCTGCGCGCGTCGCGGAGCAGCGCGGGTCGCCCCAAGTATACCTTCTGAGAAGGTGTTTGGGGTGGGTTTAGAGGGTCCAAACACCTTCTGAGGAGGTACTTGGAGCCCTATGGTTTGATCATCTTTGATCCATTTAGACTCTGTCGCAAGCTTATTTTGGAGAGAAAACCCGTATTCCCATGTTGTTCGCTTGATTCCTTAGCTGAATTTTGAGGATCCATACAGTGATCAATGGGGGGAGGCAATGGATGTCACAGGTTTGCTTCTTCCCAAGTTGGATTCGAGGCTTTGGCTGGGTTGATAGCTTGCAGCTGCAATGAAGGGCTTCGCAGGGCGACGGACCTGTACTGATTTTCCTGGCTATGAAGACTTTGAAGTCGATGATTGATGATGTACAGGTTCAACAATGAACACACGAGTGGAAACTAGCATGTCGCCTCATCCATGTCGCCTCCGAACGTTCTCCCCTCTAGCTCTCTCGCTGAAGCTTAGACGTTCTCTTTATCTCCTCAAGAGCGAGAGAATCACTGTCACAGACTGCCATCCCCTCGAGAGGACGCGGCTGCGGTCCCTTCCCCCCACAGGGTCTCCGTCTTGCTCAGCCGGGTCGCCGCGCGGACGTCGACTTCGGACGTCGACGTCAGCGCCGGTTCCCAGGCGTTGAAGGCCTTGGAGGTGGACCAGCAACAGCAGCTGGAGCGGCTCTCGCGCACGAGCGCGGAGCTCTTGGAGGCGAAGAAAGGACTCGGACGCCGCCGGGGACGACCGAGCTGCGACCCAGCGACCAGTGTGCGGTGGTTCGGATGGGGGGCTTCCTTCGGACCAGCGGCGAAGGTGTGTCATGCTAGTGTTTCGACACGCAGCGAACGTTTGTGAGGTGAGATGCATTTGACAGCGCGTGGTCGAAAGGATCTGAAAGGATCATGGTTCGGATTAGGTCCGGACCCGATCAATCGTGGAGTTGTTGGATTGTGGGTCCTGATTCTTTGACCTTATCAACTGGTGTGGTCCTTGCTAAGGGGTTTGCATGATCAGCCGAATTTAATGTGTATAACTGTATAAACATCATGTTCCTAGAACCTGACATGACCTCTATGTTGGACCACCAACCACCCCAAAATATGGTATTTGCATGTTTGTTCTATTCAAAAAAGGGATCTTAACGTTTGGGTTCCAGGTTTGTGATGTCTCTTCGCCGCTACAGCCGCTTTTACCATCAAGGTTCAGTTGTATTCTTCCAGTTGCCCGCCTCGTTGAACTCGACTCATCATGGCCAACGTGGACTTGACCGACGATGCTGTCAACACCGGCGCAGTTGCATGGGTCTTGACCTCTGCAGCTCTGGTCTTCCTGATGACAGCAGGTCTTGGCTTCTTCTATGGAGGCAGGTCTGGTCTTAAGGTGATATTCCGGTGAGATGAGTTTCGTTGGAATTTTGAGCGGATCTACGCAAAGAGCAAGTCTCGGTGTTCTGTCAGATTTGTTAAGTCTTCGGTCTTTGCTCCTTCGGTGTACCTATCGGTGCAGTACCTATAGGTGGTGGTCTCCACGGATTAACTCTCAGCCGGCTCCGTTCAGCAAGCGCTGCGTTCCTCTTAACTCAGCCGGTCAGGTTTGGTGCGCGACACCAATGTCATCAACACGATGATGATGTCAGTGGCCTCCATGGCCATCGTTTGCTTGACCTGGGTCGTCTTCGGATTCTCCTGGGCCTTTGGAGACAACGGCGGTGGCTTCGGGATGTTTGTGGGGAACTTTGAGTACAGCTTCTGGATGAATCTGGACATGAAGATGTGGGGCGACTCCGGACTGCCAGGCCGAGCCGAAGGAAAGGAAAAATGACGGGCCCGATGTGTCCGTCATCGTTTTTTTTGTCTTGTTTTTTGGGTGGTTCTTCCATGTTTTTCACACTGGGCTTCATGTGGATGGGGTTAGTGATACTGGATTACAACGATTTGGTTGGGCGGCTTCCAAGGTTCTGCTTATAGAGATGCCTAGGACTTGAAGAGTCTGCTGCGAAAATGATGGGAATGTTGTCGTAATAATGACATTTCATTACCCTAAGAAGGTTTTGAGGGTCCAAACCCCTGCTATGCAGGGTCCAAACCCTCCATAGGAGGGTCCAATGATTCTTAGGGTACTATATTAATGATTCATGCTGATTCTCATCCCCCATATGAGCGGGCTCCAACATCCTCCCACCACCACAAAACCCCCACAAGAGTCCACCACGGAATTCATGACCCCGGGTCCAAAACATCCGACCTCCGATCCTTCACCTGGCTCGAACAGCTTGGCGGTCATGAACTGCACGACCGACCGACCACGCAGACACGACCGACCTGTGGAGTGGCATCTACTGTAACTACATTGAGCTGGTTGAAAAGGGTGGGGGTCAATGTGGGCATATATAGCATACAGTGATATATGGGTAGGGTAGAGCTTGCCTCTCCAACGAAGAACACACGGGAAAAAAAACGGACGTGGAGTTCACGGCCTCTTTTCTTCCGAAAAGGACTTACAAGGGAGCCATGCCATCCACTTCCGATGTGGCCATTGTCATATAACTTGGCATGTCGTGTCTCCGCTTCCTATCCAGTTCCACTGCCATATTTGCCTGCATTGGGGTGGTCAATGTAGGCCTATCCAGTTTTGTGTTTGGATATCTCTGAAGAACACATGCTTGGCGCCACTTGGCGCAGCACACACACTTGGGGTACCACACCGGCGGCAGAAAACACCCAGACCGCCAGGTCTGTGCTTCGCAGCCTTCCAGATGACCTTTGCCATCATTGCCTCGGCGATCATCTCCGGCTCGTTGGTGGAGCGCATGCGCTTCAGCTCCTTGGCAACGTCGCGTTCCGCCGATGACGGCGACGTACGGCGCGAGGTTCCGCTTCAGACGTACGTTTCAGAGGTTTTTGGCCGGTTTGGGTGGATTTCAGGGGTCCATGTAAGGTCAATAATGCTAGTTCCAGGGAGAATGTTTGGGAGAGAAAGATGGGGGAAGGTATAGAAATCCCTGTACCAGGACCATCCTGTTTGGGTGTCCTGGGCTGGACAGGGCGGGAGTTGCCCGCCCACTACTGGTCGACAGGGGATCGATCTTCAAAAACAGAACACCGGTTAAGATGCACCTTAGGTTTGGGGCGATGGAAAGAACGTACACGTTTTACAAAACCTCCGGCTCAAGAAGACCAGGAGTAGTCACAAAGGGGTGCCGAACTTGGAGGATATAGGGGTGCCCCCTATCCAAAGCCGCTCTCCACTCGCTTAGAGACTAAAGACCAGTATACCTTTGTGACTCCTGGCACATCAACGTTGAACTTGTGCAGCCTGTTGTGGCTCTTAAATGTTGAATGGGTGGTGCGAGCAAGGGATGCAAGAACCACGAAAGCGGTAACTTGTACCTCCAAGTCAATGCGGGTCATTGGCTGATGGATATAACATCGAAGACAGGAAGACAGAAGGGGGAGTGCCAAGGGTGTACTGAAGCTGAGATCCACTGGGTTCCACCGGCCGTTTGCCTTGTTTGAGGGATACTGAAGCTGATTTCAAACAAATCCACTTGGTGGCATGTAATTATATGTGGAACAAATCCAATTGGTGGCATGTAATTATATGTGGATGTTGTGGATCCATTCCAGGCTTGATGTTCTTTATTTAATCACGCCCATGTTACCCATGTTTGCACAAATCTATGCAAGACAGACTTATCAAAAAAGATATATAACCCAAAAGCAAGTCCAAGTTCAACCCATCCCAATCCAGCAATCCAACCCTCCAACATCATGTGACACCTTCCACATTCTTCCACCCTGCAACCCGCTTCTTCATCGCAGAACGCCGAGCATCCCGCCAAAACGTCTGCATACCGAGAATAAGAATCAAACGTCCGGCGCCGAACACCCTGGTCAACTCCAGTGCGACAACTCCAGTCATAGGCGACAACCATCCGACGTTGACCGCTGCCCACCTGGATGTTGACCCTCAGATGTCGAATCCTCATCCAACCCACCGGCCAATGTTGTTGCCTAAGCAAGACTCACCAAAAACCAAGCTTTCAAGCTTGGGTACCGCGTAGCGCTTTAAGGCACCCACTTTTAATATAGCCTAAAAACGCACCGCTGCCTGCTTCCTCCTTGTCTATCCGTCGACTTATTGAACTCCTTATACTTATAGCTGAGTCTCGTCTCGTCCCAGCCTAAGATACTAGCTGCTACTAGCTGCCAATGCTAGGCGCTTACTCCATCATGTTGGCCTTGTGGTCCCTGCTGATCTACGCCCCGCTCTGCCACTGGGTTTGGGGCCCCAACGGCTGGATCGCCGAGATGGGCGCTTTGGACTTCGCGGGCGGTACCGTGGCAGCTCGGCGGAAGGACGTGAGGGGGGTGGGGTGAGTCGAAGACATGGAGTGGTTTAGCGTGGTTTCTTTTCATGTGGATGTCCTGCCAAAACATCATGATTTGAAGGATATTATGTTGCATATGTTATGGTTGGGATTATTTAGGATTGCTTAGGATTAATGTCGAGGTAGGATTCATCAACCCCACCGTTCAAGGTCAACAAGGTTTGAGATTGGAGGGATTGGAGACCACATCACCTCAATAAAGGTGATGACCTGATGATGGATGATGAGATGATGACAAGCCTGGGAAGGATTGGGATTGGGATGATTAGGAAAGAGATGAACGAGATTGGAAGATACGATTCTTTCTTTGATTGGGATGATTAGGAAAAGAAAGAGGATTGCAGGATGAAAGAGATGGAAAACAAGATGGAGGCCAGAGGGTGGGCTTGATTAATAGGGAGAGGTATTTATACTCAAGATGGTCAATGTTTTCGCCCAACCTGTCTACAGACCCTCGGTTTTCTGAGCACTGTAGGCCGTCGCCTTCGCTTCGCTTTTGGGTCACGGCCTTTACCCTGCAGTTGGAGCCGGGTTTTTTGAGGGTGTCCCACATCTAAGTCCTTTAAGGGATCCACATACATTCCACTTGGAGCCTCCAAGACCGCCAACATCAAGAGTCCTCACCTTCTCAGGTTCGGTATGATTGGACCCGACGTTTTGGCACCCACCCACCCGGTACGACAACGGTTTTCGGCCAAACGGGTCAGCAAACCCTGAGCCGAGCTGCAAACCCGCCCAGCTGTTGAAGTCCGTTGGTCCAAGATCAACATCAAAGAGTCCTCAGCTTCTCAGAGGCTTTCACTGAATTCGAAAGACGTTGAGGTTCACATCAGCTCCGGTGTCTCGGGTTTGGTGGCTGGCGCCATCGTGGGACCGCGACGCCATGTGGAGAAGGAGCTGGGCCCGGCCAACGCGCCCTTCGTGATCTTGGGTGGCGACCCGGATGAAGAAGCGGCTGAGGAGACAGGAGGTGCAGTTCCCTTAGACCCAGACACTCCATGTATGGCAATCAATAGTTACATTAAAAACCATAGTTATACCTACATTGGTGTGGTTTCAGGTGCCAATATACATCTGGTGCCGGAGTGTTTGGGTTTTTGTTGTAATATTGTGTGTGCTTTCTTTTAAAGGGAAACCTCATGGTCCTGATATTTTTGTGGGTGCTTAGTGAGAGGATGGTGACGCAATATGTTGCGGCGCCCTCGTGGGTGTTGGGTCTTTTTGGAGCTTTCACACACTCTGACAGACTCTTACGGACTTTGAACAACCCGTTGCACTAAGGATAAATCGAAAGACCAAACTCATAGAATCATGCATGAATATCGAACCCAAAAACTGCTGGAGAGCAGGGAGCACCTGTTTTTTGGCATAGTCTCCTTTATTGCTTAAGGGGTCTTTGATTTCCCAGGGCCTATGCGGCCTGTACCCAGCTGTAGTGCCAGCTGTAGTCCAAGCCCTGTTGGCTTAGATGACTCACAAGTTCGGTGAAGAGTTCGGCGGCCAAGCCCAGAGGTTTCGATGGTTATTGTAAGACAGTACCGTATCCGTGTTGTATCGATAGTTGATAATGGTCCATGGTTGTAAGTTTGGTTTGTTTGTTGTAAGATAGTTGATAGTTGATAATATTGTTTTGTATATCGATGGTTGATAATGGTTGTAAGTTTGCTTTTTTGTTGGATGTCTTTGTTGTTCAGACACACCAATCCTATCATCCTATCCCATCCTTCTTCAAACTCCATCTCAGGCAGCCTCCTTTGGTTTGGCTGGTTGGGCTTCAATGGTGGCTCCGCCTTGTCCGTGAGCGACGGCGTGGCAGCACGTGCGGTGGCCACCACGTTCGTGGCAGCCGCCTCCTCCATGCTCAGCTGGCTGATGCTTGAACGTCTTCTCAAAGGCCTGGAGTTTTATAGTTGTTTCAACAGAGATGGGCGCAATCCCCAATGTCGGTGGTTCCATATGGATCCCAATACATGCCAGTGCCATCTACTCTGATGGCCCACTGTAGAAGCTGTGGACGGGATAGGATGTTTGGGAACTATTTGTTCCATGTTCCAACTGGTCCAGCGCATCCACGAAAACTGGACGAACCTTCCACCACCTTTGGCAGATGCTGCTCCCAGAATCTTCTAGATGGATTGGTAGAGCTAGATGCAGATAGATCCTATATCTAAGCAGTCCCTCTTTGACGAAACATAGTATGAAAGCCTCACTCTCCGAAAGCATACAATCCCAAGTGAGATCTCCGACTAGCAGCATCCATCACCATGCACCCATCACCACCCGGCAGCTGTGGGTTCACCAAAAAAGAAAACGCTTTGCAGGAGACCTGTGCGGGAGAATATTTATTTATTTTTTTAGCAGTCGTTGTTAACTTGTTTTTATAAGCGGCTAGCGTTCTTTCTCTTGCTGCCAAGTTCCATCCTCACTCTAGTTTTTTTGGGATCGATGTCCTTATCCTCAACAAAAAGGGATCGTGCCACGTCGTGCACACCTTCCAGAGGTTTTTCAGGACCAATCCGACTGCCCGGTGAAGCATCCTCCAGCCCGCCCGCCCGCCCGGTGGCTTCCCAGCGTTGGTGGAGGCAAATCCAGCAGTGTGGGCGCCTCCGTCGGCGCGGTGGCCGGACTCGTGTGCATCACCCCGGGCGCCGGCTTCGTGACACCCGGCTGGAGCATCGTGATTGGGCCTTGGGCGCAGTGTCTTGGTGTCCAGAGCGCTTTTGAGGTCCATTTCATGGAACTGGGTGAATGTCCAGGCGACTGGCACAGAGAAAAAAAGGGCAACAGCAAAGGAAGTGCACATCGATGATTCGATGATGTTTTCTTCCCAAAGTGGATGAACCCCTGGCATAGGGGAATATTGAACATATTAAATGTGTGTTTGTGCTTTTCCGCGTTGGGACCGGAGCAAAAATCCGGACCGCGCGATTTCCCTGCGCAGACATCTCCCAGGTCTGGTGCTACGTCTCCGTGGAGGTGGTGAATCGCGTGAACTTGGTCGATGACACGCTGGATGCCTTCGGCCGCTGGGGCGTGTTCTGTTTCCGGGTCCAGGACCATCCGAATCGGATGTCACTTAGGCCCCAGTTCGACCATTCTCAGGAACGAACTCACCTCCAAGACCATCCGATTCGGATGCTCCTGGACCCTTAAGGTTTTTCCGATCCGGTGAGCGAACTGGACATGTTTTATGGTACCTGAGGGTCAGGCACCCTTCACGAGCTCGAAAGGTGTCCGAAAATGGCGCCATAACTTTCCAAGTGGCAGATGGTGACCTGGTTCTGAGGGTCACTGTACTGATGGGTCGCCGTCACTTGATTATCAAATGGTGATTCGACTCCAAAGTTCGTTCACACGCTGCAGAAGCGAGAAGTTCTCTGACTGGAAAAGCAAATCCAAAAAAAACAGCACCCGAACTCTGCCACCCGCCACATGAAGTCTCCTCGTCCAAAGACCACCGAGCCCCGCGAGCTGCAGAGCTTCACCGTGTTGGGACCGGAGCCGAGGCTTGCATGGCATGGGCGGCATTGGTGGGGCCATCTTGACGGGAATCTTTGCCTTGGATGGTGGCCTCATCTACACCGGAGACTCGGTGTCATTCGAAGAAGACGAACATCGAGAACCAACAGCTCGGAGGTATTGTAAGTGGAAGTTCCAGGGGTCACAAAGGGGTGGTGTTTGGTCCCTAAGTGAGTGGAGTAGCTGGGCACCCCTAAACCTCCAAGTTCGGCACCCCTTTGTGACTCCTGGTTGTTTGTTATGTTTTTTTTCCGGCGTAGATCAAAAAGGGGGGGCGAGTCGATGCTGTGAAATCAGATTCCGAAGTGTTCTCTCGAATGGTGTTAGGATGTGTGAGGTTTTTTCTTTGTGGGTTGGTAAAGATACTGAACAACTGGTTCTCGAGGAGCTGAACAACACCCAGAGTTCTTGTTGTGGTAGGGATTGGATAGTGGAATATATTGGAATACCCAGACGCTCATGGGCCCTCATATGGAGGGGTCTGGGGTCTCAAATCCCTAGGGTTTTGAGGGACCAAGAGCTGTTTGGAGCGTCTGGGTATGTCTGTTTTGTGAAACATTAAAACAGACTACCTCCCAGGACCCTCCGACCCGATGCTCGGGGTGTCCTGGCTGGACTACTCCACACGGATCCCAGGATGGCTTCCAGACAGGGCACCCCGAGGGTCGGAGGGTCCTGGTCTTGTTGTGGCGATTGTAGAGTTGATCCATCCGAACCTAGAGGTGTGTTCTTCCAGTCCGAGTTTGTGGTGGGACTTGGGTTTGAGTCCGTCCTGGTCACCTATAGATGGGATGGTATTTGAGTTTCGTTTCCCCAGGAAACATGAACTATAGGTGGAGTTTTTCTCCTCAGTTCGAGGAACAGACTTTTCCAGACGGTCTTCGGAAGTGGAGCAACATTTCAACCAAAACACATCCCAAAGGGTCCGACCCGTCCTGAACCTGCGACCAGTCCTGAACCCTGCCTGAATGCTTCGGACTCGTCCATCGTCCATCGTCTTCGATGTTTGTGTGCAACGGCGATCGAGCTTCTTCCTGGGAACGCGACATGGAACGCGACACAGCCCGCCCATCCCACCCGAAAGAACATCCAAGGAAACTTTGAATTGTTGGGCAAGCAGATCGCCGGTGCCATGGCCGGTGTGGCCTTCTCCGCCATCGGTACTGCCACCCGGTGTTACTGTTCGGCTGATGACTCGCGGGGCGTTCGACTCGGAGGCAAGCTTGCCAGTTCTTGCGGTCAACTCTGTGACCAATCAGAACCCTACAAATTAAGTTCTATACATGCATGTTGTGAGGTCAAAGGAACAGGCCTCCTGGCTTATACATGATTCTACTAATAGAGCCAAACATGCAGAGATGCAATGCAAATGGATCATTAAGAGCCCTCCTTGGCGTGGATCCGCAGGGCCTCTACGTAGTCCACCGCGCCACCGCGCTCCAAGCGTCCCAACTCACCGGATCTCTATGTAATCCACCGTGGTTGGGACGATTTGGTTTGACACGCCCTATATCGTATGAGACTTGGGATCTGGCAGGTTTCCGCAGGTTTCGCGTCGCTGGCACTGGTGTTCGGGCGAAAAAGTAGACGGCTGGCAATGGCACAATGGGAAACCCTACCCAGACCCATCTAAGTCGACAAGTGCTCACTGGCTGTCCACTGCCAGGTTCTTCACTGGAATCCAAATCCCTCCAAGAGGGGGAACAAATTAATATGTGCTTTCAGAGTAGATGGCACATGATGGCACACTCCCCCAGTTTGGTGCTTATCCCCATGACAAAAGACATGACATTAGGTTTGTGCATGTTTGTGCCATCTATTCTGAAAGCACTTCTGCACTGTGAGAGAAGTCCGGAATGCTTCGCCGGTCGGTCCGTTGCACACGCTGAGGCCATCATCGTGGTGGCGCTGCGCTTGGTCATGAGGGTGAGAATCCCCGAAGAGCAAGAGATTGAGGGTGTTGACCAGCACACCCACGGCGAGACCTACCACAGCCCTGTGAAGAAGTACCCTCAGACCAAGGTCTCTGAATCAAGTGACACATCCGATGCTGTTTAAGTCGACTGAGCTGAACATGGTGGCATAATTCACAAATTTTGAACTTTCAACGACAAGGATGGAGTCCTTGTGTCGCCGCAAGCAGCATAGATTTGGCGGCGCGCATGACGCTAAGATCTGCAGATCCAAATGCAGACACCGAATTTGCCTCCGCAAAGATGTGGGGCTGTAGCATGCCGATGTGCTCTTGGTAGCTCAGGAGCAGGTTTATGTTGAAAGAATGGACCACCTGACCATTTTCTGCGCTCGTGTTGAAAGAAAGGACACCATCATTGGAATGAAATGGACTCTGCCAAACATTTGGATGAATATAATCTCTGATGATAGAAGTACCAGCACCTTCCGTTCGTCGCTTTTGGGACACCCCGACTCACACCTTTTTGAGGCGTAAATAGACACCCCAGTCGAGTCGAGTTTTGGGATCAATCGAACAAGAGGTCAGACCAGAACCTTGGATCAGGAGATATCAGGATGCTTCGAACAATGGACCCCCCCCCCAAAAAAGGGAAAGGCAGACCCCTAGAGGTCAAAACCCAAACCATCCATGTATGGGGGTCTACAAGTCTACAGGTGGTTGGAGGGGTCAATGGCTAAATTCCACATGATGGATCGTCTGGGAATACATCAAAACACGACCACCCGCCGGTTTGTTTGGTTTCTTCGTGCTCCTGGCCCCGGCTGTCTCGGTCGTTTTGTCTGGCGATTGATGACTTGGAAGAGATAGGGTAGGTAGGGTATGGTGGTCAATGGTAGGTGCATCAGCACCATTTATAGAATCTATTGTCAGTCATAGAGTAATAGAGTTTAGTAATCAATGTATTTTTGCATATTTTTTGCACAGTGAACCAAATACGTATTGCTGGACTGAAGCGCATGTGGCATCAGTTCTCTTTGGTTTATATGCATGATATGCATTTGGAAGACTACGGTGATTCTTTCTGAAAGGACTTCTGCAAGACTTGGAGAAGTGTCAGTCTATGGAGAGGCGCGGGCCGAGTCAACGAGGTCAGACCGACACTGTCCGTCAGTCTGTTACTCCGGAGAAGTATGCTGTGGAGGACCATTTTCCCATATTTTCACCTAGGCGTCCAACCACCATTGATGGAATTGTCTCCACCAAGGAACCATGATATACACCACGAAAACAGCTCAACCACTTTAAACATAGTCTTGGAACACGAGGGTTCCTTTACAACCCAGTGGTTTTGGGGGTCCATGATCTCGACCCCTGGTCAAAGATCTCGACCCTTGAAAGACCCCATTGGCCAAGATGGCAGTCCCATGAACATCTTGCGATATACGTTTTCATTCCGACTGACTCTTCTGTCGTAACTTTCGATCAATCTGGAGCTTGAAGAAGTTCAACAGCAAACCCACTCTCGATCTTGGCAGAAGCACCACCCAGCCCAGTCAGGATGCTATTCCCAAACACTCCATATAACATGTATAAGCTAATGTGGCCTACATTCACCACCCAAAACCACCAGTGGTGTAGGCCCATCTTTGTATACACGGAGCCTTTGGGTCTTGGAAAACACACCCAACTTCTGCTTACCACGTGGGCAAACGCCTGCCACGTCCCGTCCGTGTCGTGACCGGCCGGACCCCGGACGTAGGAGCCGGACCGTCATATGGAGGGGTTTGGACCCTCAAAAGCAACAGAGGTTGAAGGATCCAGACAATCCCATAATCCCATGGGTACATAAGGGTCCTGTAAGGTCACTTAACCTCTTGGGTTGGGTTTTTGAGAGACCAGATCCGGTTGTTTGATGTTGTTTGGAGCCCCAAATCAGGGCGGCCGGCCCCTGTTTCAACCCCCAAACAGCGGGAAACCGCTGACGCCTCCGACCTCCGCTTTTGCGGCGGGAGAGGCAACTGGAGGAGTCCCTGCGACACGTGGACGCGCGCCTGGAACGCGTCTCCCTGGTGGCCACGCAGAGCTCCGAAGGCGAGGCGAAACCGAGGCTGTCATCGGCGTTCTGTCGGAGAGGAGGAGGTTCTGTCGGAGAGAGGGTCAAACGGTTTGATGTCCGGCTGGGTGCAACAGAAACAAACGTGGGACGGAGAGAGAGTTTGTTGGGGCGAGTGAGTTCGATGAGGGCGTGCGGGCGGGGGGGGAAATCATGTGGCGCGTTTTGGGCCTTTCCTTAGTGCCGGGCGGTAGCTGTCTGGAGCTGGCGCCGGATTTGTACACTGAGTCCATGGTCCATTCAGCATTTTGCATTGTTTCGAACAACTGAAGTTCCATGACCCGTTTGGCCTCCCGTCATGAGTTTGGAGGGTCTAAATATACCTTCGGAGGTACGACTGGAGGCCGGTGAAGTTCCTAGATGTCCGAGCTTTCGATCCACTCAGGCAGGTGATCCACTCAGTCCTTGAAAGAGTTGAACACCGCATCAGTCACCGCTGACATCCTCTCCACATGATGACGAATCACGTCTGACACCTGGAGGGTTCCCCCATTGCAATGTGTTCCAAATGGATCCAAAAGGATCCAATTCTTAAATCTGCCCATGCGTTTTCCAACATTTCAGCCGGATGCTTCAACTCCCCCCACCTACCCCCTACCCCCTCCCATAACAGACGAAAAACACACAAAAAAACAACAACTCTCCCCAGGCGTGGCTGAAGTGAAGACTTTGGCGCTGCACTCCGCGGAGAACGCGGTGATGCGCAGCCGGGATCTGCTGGAGCAACGCTCGGCCGAGCTGAAGGCGTCCGAATCAGTGATGGGCCGTGCGAAAAGGATGCGCCAGTGGCGCTGGTTGAGGCGTTAGGCAAGGCAGAATGGATCATTGTTAGCTAATATCGACATGCACAGTATGAATTCAATGAGTTGGTTTTGGGTAGTGCTTGGCTGGAGACTGAAAAACACCTTGGACAAACACTGCCTGAAAGATAGGCCATGTGTCTGGTTGTGGGCATTCACATCACGAACATCTGGCAGGCACGCAGCGACGCTGCGCATGAAGAGCTGCGATCAGTGCGAGTGTTCATCCAGGAGGAAGGTCAACGACACCTGCAGGCCGAACCGGGTCCTGGACCCGTCACATGGGGAACAGGTCGTCCGAACCGAAACGCTTCGGTACCGACCCAACGGAGGCCCAAACGGATGCCACCGGGTGGGAACGACCAGTCAAGTGCGCTTCCGATGATTCACACTCATTTTCGCTCATATTCGGACCGCACGCGTGTGGATGGAGCATCCAATTGCGTGTCCTTGGACATTCCCTGGTACATGGCCAGTTGGGGGGCAAAAACCGTGTCCATGAACATGTTGTGAAACTTTTGTTTGATCCGTTGAATCCGTTGTCCGTTTTTTTGGGCAGCTAACGTTTGTTCTTGAGGCAAGCCATGCTGAAGCAAGTGCTTGTGAACATCGTGTGAGAGAATGGCTCGTGGTGCACGAGAAGGCCTCGTCACTAAATCAACGCCGCGTAATCCACGCAACGCCACGCGCGTCGCGTCGTTTGGACCGGTGTGGCGATCCGGGCGGCCTGACGCATCCGGGGATCGAATTCATGTGGTGAATGGGTGCAGCTGAACTTTGTGCTGGAAGAGTCCCACATCACGACTATATCATGGCGTATGGTGACCCTGGACTCATCATATGGGCAGACATTACCTATTTTAGGGCCAGGGAGTGCTTGTGTGGATTCCCCAAAGGGTAGAATATAAACACTCCATCATCAATAGACTATACATTTTGGAACTCCTGGTTTCCTTGTTTTAAGCGTCCCCGGGCCGAATTTTTGTCCTTTCCAGGAAGCGCAAGATCTGCGAGCCAACCTCGATGAGCAGATGAAACGTCAGGAGATCTCTTCAGACTTTCTTGGGAGGTGCTGATCCTCATCAGTTTGGTAAACTGTGACATGACCCACCAAAGTCGCGGCGCCCTGATCTTGGAGGCTCTCAGGATGCAGCGAGCATCCCTTCAGAACTTACGAATTCCAAATCATGGAAAGAACTCCTTCACTTGGAACTGCTTTTGGAACTGGATCTGGTGGATCCTCCCGATCTGCTCCATGTGCTTCGGCTGCTCCTCAGACCGACCGATTTCGGTTCCGGACCGATCCGTTGGACCTCGAGGAGACCTTGTCGACCGCTTTGCAGGAGGCGCGGCGCGCGTGGACGGAGCGCCCGCGCGGACGGCGACCCTGTCTGGGACTGGCAGTCTGGACTGCCGATCTACATTGACCCCAGGTCAACCACCCTCAGGTATAGGTAAATATATGCCATATATATGGAGTGTTTGGGAGATATCATATGAGACAGCGCCATTTGGGTGGTGGTTTCAGATGTATTCCAGGGTCATCCTGTATGGCTGTCCTGGCTAGCTTACCCTATCGTAAACAGGTCTCCAGAACAGGGCACCCGGAGAGGAAGTGCTAGGTTGAGATCTTCTGATGTTGAGCCTTTTCTTAAGGCAGCCTATTGAGACAAGCCTCCCTATAGGGATTCCAGGCCCATTCATGGAACATAAACTGATCAGTCATCCCTCATCCGACCATGTAAGGATTTTACTTCATCCAAAACCAGGTCGTGCCCCTTTTTTTCCGGTCTTGGAAGTCTATAAGGAGTTCTTCGTTTTTGCGAACACGCATTTCAAACATGACCACGTTCCGCGTCGTTGCCATTGTCGGGTCCAGTCATACCTTCTAACAGAACCCAATGGATCCACTTCCACCTTCTGAGAAGGTGATTGGAGAGTATGTAGGGCGCCCACTGTCTGGCCCAGTCATACCTTCTGAATAGGGATCCGTGCATCCGCTCGGGGCTTCCGGGCGGTCGCCTTCGCCTTCGCCCTGGGGACCGCCGCTCGGGGGGTGCACGTCGGCGCGCCAGCGCGGGACCGGACCGGACGTCGGCGAAGGTCTCGGAGATCTTTCAGAGCAAAGTCTCGAAGGTCACCACCGACTTTGCCGAGCAGAAGGATCCAGCGATCCACCGGGAAACGTGTTTCACGGTCGTTGTCACGGTCCTTGGGGATGTCACGGAAGTTTTTTGGGGGGGGGGTCGAAGGTTGTTTGGCTTGAAGGGTGGTTTATGTGTTGTGTTTTTTTCTATATGCTTAATTGTTATTAATTGGTTATGTGTTTTTTTTTTGGTGTGTGTGTGTTGGTAACTGTTGGTTGTAAGATATAGGTTATGGTGTTAAAACTTGTTTGTTGCTGTTCAAAAGTTGTTTTCCATTGGTGTCCATCATCGCTGTTGATGTTTTCTGTTTCTCCGAATGGTAGTTTCTGGTGAATGTTTGCTAAAATTCACTCTGTTGATGTTTTTCTTGGATGAGGGTAAGATTGTTGAGGTAAGATTGTTATGGCAGGATGTCATCGTATCTCCGTTCATTTGACCCCAAGATGTTAAAAGGATATCCAAAGATATGGGCGTTTGCCACCGATGGATTTCTGTTCATGTTATAATATGTTATAATCACGTTTATCGTTTACCTATATAAATTAAATCTTCAACTGCTCTTAAGCCATGGTCAGAGATGTCTACGGCTTTCCAAAGAGCCATGCGATCCGTCAAAAAAAAAAATCACCCATATGAGATCCCATGATCACTCACCTGGTGTCTCATGGCGGAGCAGCTCAAGCCGTCCGACTGAGCAGCTAGAGCCGTCTGATGCTCGTGTCCTGCCTGGCATGCTCATGCCCTCAACGCGCTGAGAGGGGGTCTGGGCGCTCGTTACATGTTGTATGTGTGCAATCTCGCAGGGGAGGAGCTTGCTGCCTTAGATGCAGAAGAACTCCATGACGTAAAGCACCTCAAGAAAGTGCTGGACCAGCGTCTTGGGGTGAGCAGATTTCACCAAAGGCTTCTGCAAGGAGGCGCACTTTTGGAGGATCATGTCACACTCACACCTGTTGGGTTTGATACTGTGCAGCTGGTGGTTGCTCCCTTTGTTGAGGCGTCGCGAGAAGATGTGGAGATGTTAATCGAATCATCCCGGAGAGGACGCATCGTCGATCTGGAGATGATGTTGCAACAACCGTATGATCCAAACCTGCAACGTGCTGATGGGGACTACGCCCTCCTGGCAGCATTGAGAAATGAGTCTGGTATGGAGACCGTGCGCCTGCTACTAGAGGCCAGAGCAAATCCAAACCTGCAAAACGCTCTTGGGGACTATGCACTCCTGGCAGCATCGAGCAGTGAGTCTGGTATGGAGACCGTGCGTTTGCTACTAGAGGCCAGAGCTGATCCAAACCTGCAATGCGCTAATGGGGACCATGCCCTCCTGGCAGCATTAAGCAGTGAGTGCCGTTTGGAGACCGTTCGCTTGCTACTAGAGGCCAGAGCCGATCCAAACCTTGTCACCGATGGTAGCTCACCCCTTCAAGAGGCCTTCGAGGCCATGTCTGCAGGAGGCGTGCGTTTGCTCTTGGAGGCAGGTGCCCAGCCCACAAAGCTTGACTATCCATCAAAATTCTATGATGTTACAGCTCGATGTGAGGCCAAGTGCTGTTGTGAGTATAGGTTAGATTGCTTGTTCAAAGTGACACTATGTGTTTTTGGCTCTTGGTGTGTCATCGGTTTGCTTGGGTGGATGCTATGGACATTCCTGCCTTTGGACCATTTGGACTCGCCCAACTCCGAGCCGTCGCACTGCCAATCCCGTGGGGCGGGTTCCTTCTCGATGGAATACCAGAAAAAATGCTCCCTGCACATGCTTGGTGCAGCTTTGATTTGCAGTGGACCTGGTTTTGCAGGTCTTCTAGTACTCCTCTGCAGTATGTTTCATGGCGAGGAGAGATTCGATGCTCGGATGTTCGCAGCTCGGATGTTCCGGAGATATCCACAGCTGGCGCAGAGATTGTTTGCGCAGCCGGAGCTGTACGGAGCGCAAGTGCCCGGAGATGCTGCGCGCGAGGCTCGAAGCGGCTAAGGCCTGTTGAGCATGGTTTCACCGGTTTTAAACACTCCTCGTGTTTCGCCTTGTCATCAAAGTTCTTTTAAACCGCCTGGACACTCCGCCGTCGAAGCTGGCCAGCTGGCGAAGGGCGATCGGAGGTCTGAAAGAAAAGGTTGCGAGTTGGGGTCAAGATCCCGTCCGTGATTGATATACATGCCTGGACCATCCTTACGGGGTGCCCTGTCTGGAAGCCTATAGGTAGTGTGGGGTAGTCCAGCCAGGACACCCCGTAAGGATGGTCCTGGTGTGATGATATGATGAGTTTTTACGGAAACCGCAGCAGATGTCGTATCCCTAAGAATCCTTGGGCCCTCCATCACAGAAGTCGGACCCTCGCAAGGGTCCGGACCCGAACCCAACCCTATGTGTTCAGCCCGGGTTCTTAGGGATATACACATGACCGCTAGAAGTCGAAAGGTCTTTGTTGGCATCAAGTATATGTCATATGACGCCTTCGAAGGATCGGTCCCGACCCCACATGGGTTCGGAGTGAATAGGACTCTACCCAGCCAAGGCGAGGGGGGATTCCCCATTCAAATGCAAATGCTTATGGAAATCGGCTCATGACATGACCAAAATATACTAGCCAAAGTACTAACCGACATCGAGCCAGCTAACCTGTGTGTTATTTTTCGTATGTTTCCGAACTGGGTGAATTCCCGAGCATGGGGGGTATGTTTGCCCACTAATGGTAGGTGCTAAATGCGTTTTGAAAGATTGAGCATGGCCAGGGAAAATGGGAGTTTGTTTGGGGTAAATTGCTCTGGATGTTCAGCAAAGCATCTGGAAGCCTGACCTCACGAATAACACCCGCAACAAAGCACAACAACCTATATATAACAAACATCCACCTCATCCATGAACAAACATCCCCAAACACCTCAGAAACCTCAAGGAAGACATATCAACAGCCAGGAAATCTCATTGAACCACCACCACAACAACAACAGTCGCCGGACCGAGGGACAATCAACATGTCGGTCCCCAACAGCATCCCGAAAGACAGGCACAGCTGGTCCAGGCCCGGCAGCGGAGCCGAGAGGCCGGCTGGGAGGGTGATGGGCTCGACCGGCGAATGCAGGACAACCTCAAGAAGTATCTCACGGATGCCTTGCGCAAGTGCGAGCAGAAGTTGCAGGTCGAAGATGGCCGGTCTCGTCGTGAAGAACATTTCGGTCCCTTCCTCACGGGGCCCTGCGCTTCGGGTCCAGCTTTTACTGATCCTCCTGAGAGTTCGGATCAGTTCCCTCTCTCAGTTCACAGTTTCGCCTCTGGAGACCTGGAGATGATGTGTGTTTTATTGCATTTATTGGGAATAAGGAGACTGGAGATGTATAGTGGATCTGGAAGTTGCTATGATATATATGCAATGTGTTTTTACATGGTTTGTACCGATGTTTGTTCTTGAAGTGGGGGGGGGAGTGTGCCATGGTTTTGTTTCAACCTATCGAGACCTCTCAAAATGTTAGATACCTATAGACTGAGCGGATTGCGAAGAATGGTTTGCACCGGAAGTTGCAGGGAGGAGAACCCTTTTGATGATCAGCTTGAACCGTTTTCCATTTCTGTCGATGCCAATGCACTTGACTTTCCCTTCAACAGAGAACTTAGGCCTTGAAAAAGGCCTTGAAAGCTGTAGAAAGCGAGTGAAGTTTATTTTTTTAAAAAGAGCCACGTTGTCCACGGGAGTTCTGTATGTTCTCCTTGATGTAATGATGCATATTGCATGAACTTGATTAAACGTGTTAACTTCTCCTGAACCGATCATGCAAGTGGATGGCATCATGAAATTCCGAAGACCAAAACAGGGTGGTGAACTCACTCACTCCGCGGAGAACGACACACGACACGGTTTTTGCTGGGGTGTCTTTAGACTCGGTTTCCTTCGCTCCGTTTTTGCGATCCGCCCAGAGGATCCATGGTGGCGTATATATGACCTACATGACTCATCCAAAAACACCAGGCACCAGTCAGGCCACGAAGGCTTCCCCCAACCATCCGCTTCAGCGGATGTTTTGCAAGGCCCATCCGAGCCTTTGGACTGGAAGTACATGTACGTCTATAGTCCCATCTCCTTCGGACGGAGGTCTACCAGAGGTAGCCAGTAGCCAGTGACCTGAACTAGGACCTAAACTGGCACACCCAACTGGGATAGTCAGGGTTTCTTCAACCGTTGGTACCTGCACCTGCGCCCGTCCTCGGTTCCGTTCCACCTGTGCCGTTCCACCGACCCGGTCCGCAGCGCTTTTCTTTCGCGGAGGCTCTGACCGCCCAGCCTCGGGTGATGGCTTTGGTGATGGACGAGCTGGAGGGGGTCGTTCGGGTGCGGTCTCCGCTCGGGTTCCACGCTTCGTCGGTCGGGGGTCGGTCCGCGGGTTGGGTCGCGGGTTGGGTCGCGGGTTGGGGTGCAAGAAAGAGGGGTCGAAGAAGGGTGAAACGGGTGAAGGAAAGTGGGACATAGTGAGTGAAACATTATAAAACTACTGCTCCCCGGAGTTTAGGTTACCAGGTTGTTTTTGAGTTTTTCACGGCGAAGCATGAGGAGTGCAGCTTGAACGGCATCATTGAGTCATATTAAGACCTATATGTGGCTTGTGCCAAGGTCAGGGTCTTTGTATTTGCATACTCTTGATATCTCTTGATTCAATTCCCAGACCATCCATGGCACCGGAATATATGCCGCCCCCAAAAGATCCCTCCAACCACCCCAATGTCGTGATATGTTCGGCGCCAGTCCCATGGAGGGTCTGGGGTTGGAATGTTTTTTCAAAAGAGACTCAGACTCCTTACGGCACTTCACCACATGACATCTATGACCATCGGCCGGCCACGCCCAGTCACACGCCAGGGTGTCACCCAACGAGAGCTGCAGGTCTTTCAGCGAGAGGCACGGACCGTGGGGGCACGATGCGGGACCGACCCATCGGTCATCTTGCGCCAGCAGAGTCTGGCGAAGCGCCAGCTAGGAGCCCATCACCCAGACACTCCATGGGACTGCCATATATGCCTACATTGGGGTGGTTTTGGGGGTCAATGTAGGCATATATTGCATACATGGAGTGTCTGGGTCATAGTTGGTTGGCATGCTGAGCATTGGGTACGCTACAAATTATACCGGGGCCGGCCGCAACAGTGACCGTGTTGCGCGGTCGCCTGCCGCAGCGCGATGTCCGGTGCGGTGTTCGAGGCTCTGGATTCGATGGAGTGGAAGCTGGAACGCTGTGTGCTAGGGCCCCAGATGAAGGGTGTAGCTTGGAACCTGTTAGTGAAATAGTGTGGAGACACATAGAGACACATGCAAGTGATCTTTTTAAGTGGATACAAGTGTGGAATCTTGTTAGTGAATACCCCAAACCAGCGTGGAAGAGTTGCCGAAGGAGCGTTTGTCAATCTATTGTAGATTCTGTTCCTGAGTTTGCTCCGTATTTGCACAGAAGACCTTTCTTTCACCTTCTAGATTCCTCCAACTCTTGCCACACTCCTGGCCTTGGACTCAGCTGGCACCTCCCCAGTCACCTCCCCAGTCGACCGCACCTGACCCGCCCTGGAAGCTCGGTGGCGGCGGGTTCACCGAGGCAATGGCTGCACGGAGCCAATGTGAAGCTGGGCTTGAACCCACAGGGCACGCTCTTCTCCACCGACCGGTGCTGGGCTCGGTCGGGGACCGGGCATGAAGGCTGGACTTAGTTGGTATAGAACAGTTCTATATATACCAGGACCCTCTGACAGGCTGTTTTGGGACCCTAAGAGGTGGTTTCTGGGCACCGAACTTGCCACCAAGCACCTGGCCAGGAGGGTCCATGGTATAGAAAGCCTCAGATCCACATCAGAAGGGACTGGAGTCAGATCGCTTTGCACCCAGTCTGACCGCTTTTGCCCCTCCGGCCGGACGACCGGAGGCGACCGTGCGGAGCATCGCGTCGTCCGTCGTCAGGTTCCGTGAGATGCTCTTTGAAGAGTCCGATCCAGTGACGCCAGGCACGGCAGCTGCGATCGCTGGCGATCGGGGAGGGAAGCAACAAGGTCACCATGGTCACAAAGCCACGGACTAGGGTGTACAGTGTTTCTCGCGATCGGGCCCCCTTAGGTTTGTTGGGGCAAAACCAAAAGTTTCCTTGAAGAAACAAGTTGCACAAAACCAGCAAATGCCAGAGATCTACGGGGGGGACAAGTTGTCTTCCCGGGCTGGGAGGGTCTAGCTTGTGCCATATATTGAGCCAGGGCCAAGGAACAAATTACAAGATAATAAGATTCATGGAAGTGGATGGCAGGGCCCCTTGGATGAATATGTTCCGAATACCAGAGGGGTGAACTCCACTTCCATGTTTTCAGTGACTGGGAGTGTAATAATATTAGAGCTTGACTCTACATGTCTTTGGGCCGTACCTGGCCATTGATTCATCTCCCAATCTCGCTTCCTTCAAACCAACTCATGACGGTCCTTCCCGCCCCATTGAGAAAACAGCGTGCTTTTAATATGGTTCTATAAGCTGTTCCTCTGAGACATCTGGGAAGGACCTCCGTCAAAAGGTCCATTTTCGGTCACGTTTGAGTCGAAAGAAATGAACAGAACAACCGTTTTGAAGGGTGAAAGCTGAACATGGAGTCGTTTTGGTTGTCAATCATAGTCAATCTATGTTCAGCTTCCAACAAGAGAATCTTCATCTATAGAAACGCTACATCCAGGACAGGTACCAGCACCCTCCAACAGGTCTCCTCTGGAGGCTTTTGTAGACTTAAAAGTCGCAAGTGGTGACCTGTTGGAGGGTCCTGGTAGATGAAACTGGGTGACTGGGTGTGCCTCAGAATGATGGACCACAAGCAAAACAACCACATCGAGCAGGGAGATTGTTCTTGCTCCCCATCTAGTCCCAAGTAGTCCAGTCCAAACCTCCCCTCTCATTAGTTGTTCTATGTTGTTCTAGTCTAGTCCCAAGGGCTCCAAGCACCTCCTCATGAAGCTATAGTTCAACCAGGCTTTAACCCCTCAAACTCCGCCACCGCCACCGAGTTTAGAAGCCAAGGGCCGCCATCTTTCGACGGGGAGCCGTATCGGACCGTGCGTTCACGCCCCCAGGTTCGCAGCCAAGGGGCACCATCCAGTCGGCGCGCGTTGGGGAGCCCAGCCCTGCCGACATTGGAGAAGAGCTCAAGGACACGGCAGAAATGAAAGAGGATCATGGATATACTGGTGGTCTTTGGTTTCAAAGTTCTATGGGGGGTATATCCTCCAGATGATGTTTGCTTCTGGGTGTGTTGTTTTCCTTCGTGTTTGGTGGACGATCGCCGATCGGCGAGCATGGAGACTCCATTGGTATAGATCTATCCTGTCATACATCCCCATACACGACCCATGGGACTGCCATAGGACTGCCGCCCCATTGAACCCCAAAACCAAGCACCCCTGGCCGTTTTGAAGGCAGTCCGGACGCTTGTCGTCCCAGACGGGTCGTGTCTGGGATCTATCGATATTCATGTTTACACCCAGACACTGCGGGACTGGCATTGTACCTAGTGGTGAGGTGGTTATCCGGATGTGACCTGGGGTCAATGTAGCCAAATACTCCGGTGCATGGAGTGTTCGGGAAGGTGGATATTGAAACAAAAAAGGTTTGTATTCGCAGAGGCTTAAGTTCTGCATTTGAATCTGAGGATGGAATCCAGGAGTATACAGCACGAGTTGCCGTGGCCGTGCATCGAAACTGAGCTTCTCCTTCCATCCGAGTTCCAGGACCGAAACCGGCCGAGTCCAAATCCGGGTGTGGTGGTCGCTTTTTTCTTCTTTCTTTGTGTGGAAGCCACCAGTTATTTTCATCCAACATGAATCCAGGTGTTGCCCTTTCCTGATCAAGATGCGTTCAGAAGTGTCTCAAGTTTCTTTTTTTTGCTCAGGCGAGAAGCGGGTCACGCACAAGGCCAAGAGTTGCGTGTGTTGACCTGAGCATCCCTGAACCCCCCTTAGTGTAGAATGTTGATTCATGAAAGCTCCCCATTTTCATGGCAGAACCTCTTCATTTGGGTGTGAAATATCATCTATCAGTCTACCATCTATCTCTCGGGGTGCGAACATTGTAGCTACACCTTTGGGAATCAAAGACGGATCAAAAGAATGCTCTGGCGCACGGGGACCTGATTGTTGGAATGGTCTTTTTACTTCGCTCAGGAACAGTCTTCGGACTTCTATAGGATATCTAGGGCAGGTTACCAGCACCCTCCTGGCCAGGCTGTTAGTTGAGGGTTGTTAGGTCCTAACAGGTCTCTATTGGTGACCTGTCGGAGGGTCCTGGTATAGGTGTATCTTTCCGGAGTTGGCACGACCGTACCCATGGAACCCATGGGAATATACCATATCTATATACCCAGACGCGACCCAGACGCCCGAATCCTCTGGAGGGGTCGAACGGGTCGAACCAATCCCGGTTTTGAGGGACCAGTCGAGCGTCGTTCACGGAGCGTCTGGGTATACAGTATCTACATATCCATCCATACTTCACGATCGTCATACCTGGAGTCGACCCGCTCGTACCTGGGAAATTAGATGTAGCAAGATCTATTCCATGTACCTGAACATCTTCGGGTCACGCCCCGGCGACGAACGGTCCGTGAGGTCGCCAGAAAACCATGTACCAGGGGCCGCACAAACCATCAAAAACCAGGTGTTCCCTAGCAAAAAACATGGGTTTTGTATGTGAAACCATATGTTTTTTCATGGTTTTGAGAGTGAACCTGGTATACTCAGTGTTGAAGACTGACCTCTACATCGTCGTTTGTCTTTGAGTTTGCGCCGCGGGCGCAGGTCTTGACTCACCAGTCCGACGCAGGGCACCAGACTCCGCAGCACCGGACCGACGACCGACGCTGCATCGGACCGTGACGCGGTGCCGAATCACCGGGGTTTCATGCCAGCTAACTGATGGAGAGTCTGACGTAGAGCTGTATGTAACTCTCACAGACAGAAAAGAAAATCTCCTACTGTTCGCGGGCGGCTCGCTTTTTTGGGGGTGTACTTACTTCTAGTTGCAGCTGCAGCTTGATGTACAATGTAGATTTCAAACCCAAATTCGCCTCACAGGCGGTGTTCAATTCGTATCTCTGAGAGAGTGTGCGGGGTGATTTTGCAAATCAAATTGCATGGAACATCATGGCAAAATATATCACTGCTTGACAAGAACATGCAAGGACAGAAGCCAAATTCAGCGCCTCTCACACTCCAGTTGCGCTTTATGTTTGGACCATTTGCGCTGGAAAGCGACAGCTGTCAGACAGCGGAGATGGCGCCAAAGAGTCATGTGACACCGGCGAGAATATTGTCAAGATCGATGTGCATGTGTGAGACTGCATGGAAGGCACTAAGTAAAGGTATAGGTTATAGGCTTATAGGTATGCAAATAAGTTTCAGTTGGGCCATGGAAAGGCCTATCAGTGTCACTCAACATGATGTTGGAAATGAGTGTTGACAAAGTTTTGACCGTAGTCGTCCTACTTAAGCCTCGACAAAAGGAATACATGTTGGTGCAACGGATTGCAAAGAAGAGCTGAAAGTGTTCATCAATGCTTCCAACACTGCCAGTCCGGTTTCTTCGCATCCTGCTAGACAACGCCCCCCCCGAGCCGAACAAAAGCCAGGCCAACTGAGCCGTGTGAGACTTAGGCGAGACGCGCGACGCACGGGCACCTCCCTTCCCATGCGGCCATGGATTGTGACTCTACTGGTACCGTCCTTGGCGACGCCTTGGCAGACCGTCGCCGGCACAGGCCGGCAGCCGTGAAAGATGAGTGGATACTGGATACTCGTGGACGTTCGTTTGTGGGGCAGCATGACCTGGTGAGGTTTTGGAAGAGCACATCTGGGCATATATTCCCTAGCCTTCAAACTTCAAATCATCAGTTTTTTTTTTGGATAGGTTGACCTGATGGTGTAGTCTCGAATCCTCAGTAAAACAATGCAACAGCATGGTATTTTTGGCATGTCGTAAAGGTTGGACTCCTTTGGGGAGACCTGTTTGGATCATGCGCAGACCTGTCGGGTAATCACCCGGGTAATCACCCGCGCAGACCACATGGCATGACCAGAGGTTGTCCATGGATGAAGGAGTTTTGCTTCACGACCAGTCGTGAAAGCGGCCTTTTTTGGAAGCAAAAAGGCCAAGGGCCACTTGCCAGTTGTGAATGTGACCCTGTTGTCAAACCAGCTTCCATAAGGCCAAGGGTCACAATCTGGAGCCCAAGAATTTGGGATCAAGGGTGGCTGGTGCCACGTCGCAGCTCGGCGTAGTTCACTGCTAGCAGTTCACAGCTTATGGGTGGCCCCCTCCCTTCCTCCCCCCCCAAAAAGACAACAAAACAAACACACCAAACGCCAGGTCGCAGCGGATTTGGTGGCAATAGCTATCGGAGACTCATCCAGGCCAGTGGAGAGGAGACCAGTCTTTGATGAAGCCACTGGGCTCACCTTGCACCATGTTTGATCACTATTCTGTTCATGGTGGGTGAGAAAAGCCCCAGGTTCCCCTCCCTACACCTCCAAGTACCTCCTCAGAAGGTACTTAGACCCTCCTAACCCACCCCAAACACCTTCTCAGAAGGTACCTGGAGGTCCTGGAAGCCTGGCTTTTAAAAAGACCCGCGATCCATATTTCGTGGCACCCGCAGGACTCCCGCAGGCATCTCGAGACACTTCGCGTCGTCCGAACAACGGGACCCGTCGTCCGCCCAAAGTCTCTCGCGGCGATGATGTGGCCCACCGGCCGGAGCCAAACCGGAAGAAACTCCAGCCAATGAACCGAATTCGACGACCCTCGACCGGGACCGTTGGCCCCGGGTGCACAGCCACATGCATGGGACGAGCCTAGCTGGGGGCCTTCAGAGCCTTTCTCCGAAGCTCAAGACACGATTTGTCAGCCTGTCAGACCTCTCCCGAAAACTCACCAATGACGATGGACACCGCGCTTGAAGCCTGGTGTGTTTCATCATGTTCCTTGTAAATAGACACTAACACCTGGACCCCCAGTCGGGGTGGTTAATGGACACCCCTTGGAGGTCAAGGGGCTATTAATGGACACCCGGAATCCATGGTGCTGGCAGACGTGTTTGTTTCAGAATCTTGCATCAACTCTTGGCCTTTTTCTCCAGCTTCGCACCCCACACGAAAGAACTCCACGCCACGGGGGCCCCTCCACGCCCAGACGTTTGGTGTGGAGACTCGTTTGAGCTCACCCTGGGGCTTGGCACTCGATGGAGGTCGCTTGTATATCGCAGACGCTCGGCGCACAGGGAGCGCAGGGAGCGCCAGGCTTCTTCGGATTTCTTCAGCTTCCGGGGACTGGCATATGTTTCCCTACATTGGCTTTCAGGAGTGGATGTTCCATACATGCAGCATTTGGGAAAACTTTTGACCTCTCTTCAACCGCCCCAATGAAGGTTAACATGCCAGTCACACTGCCAGAGTTTGGGTATGTGTGTGGTCAATGGGGCGGCAGTCCTATGCCAGTCCCATGGAGTGTATGGGATATAGAAATCCATCTCTCTCTCTCTCTCTCTGCTTGGATTCAGCATCCGACTCCGAATGCTCGAAGCTTCGTTTTTCTCCACTGAGGACTCCTTGAACCACGTGATCCGGAGCTTGGATGTGGAAGGCACAGGGCTACTGGAGCCTTGGAACTACCAGCCGCTGGCTGCCAGAGTGGAAGAGCTGGCCAATACGAAGGGTTCCAGCCATGATGTGACGGTTGGATGTTGCTGTGTTTTTTCTGTTTTTCTGTCAGACGTACTACCCGCTCGCGTTGGTTCTCACCCCCGGATTCGGCCACCTCCAGTGGCCAACGTCTTAACCCGCACCCAGACCTTCCGTCAACCTCGGCCGCCGCCTCCGTTTCGATGGCTCTGTCGGTGGTTTGGGGGGGGGGTGGCACGCCACCTGAGCATGTGGGGGCCCAGCCGGGCCAGGTTTGCCCAACGGGTCAGTTGATCCAACGAACACTTCGTTCCCCGAGCTCGTTCGTAGCTTCGCCCCGAAGTGTTTCTTCAGACTTTGAGGGCGGTTCGCATACGTTACCCTGTGTGTGTTTTGTGTGTCTAGTACTTCCTGCAGAGTAAGTATGGAACCCGAACTAGACATGTTCACCACGTGGTTTCGAGGAAGCCATGTGGTCTTTCGAGAGTCCATGTCGGTCCTTTGCAGGAGGCTCAAGTGGCTTCCACTTTTCACTGGAAGGGTGCATATCTCCCGTGGCATATACATGCATACCAAATTATACTCGTTGCATCGTCCCATATCAGAGCGACGAAACGAAACACATGTTAATATATGTTACCCAGACGCTCCGAACAGGCCTTGGTCCCTCAAAACCCTCGGGATTTGAGGGTCTGGACTCTGGACCCCTCCGTATGGTACGGCCCCTACTGAACGCAGGGTCCAGGGTTGCGTCTGGGTAATGTGTGTGTGTGTTCTTATATGTGAAACCTAACGTCGACTACGTATGGCCATCACCTGCACATGACCTGGAAACAGTGGACGACTGGCCCTGAACAGCTTCAAGCATAGCCTAAAACCCCAAGCCCTGGTAGGTTGACCATGTCTCGTCGTCGATTCTGTTCTTTTCTTGCTGGTCCACCAAAGGTCGGCCCACCAGGGTGTTTTGACCTCCCCACAGCACCATGTTAGGTGGTGAACTGTTGAGTTTTCCCTTGGATTAATTATCCTGTCCACTGGGCACAAAGATCATCCAATTGGGTGAGTTGTTATGTTTCCTCAACAGAAGATCACACTCCGACGAACACATGACCTTCGGGCGCAGGATGGCGCAAGAACCAAAAAAACAAAACAACACGTGAAGGAAAGTCGTCTCCCAAGGGGGCCATGTCCACTTCCATGTGATAAATGGATCTACCCATCGTGAAACATGGAAGTGGAAAACCACCTGTTAGATCCTGTTAGTCGAGGACAATGGTCATCCAAGGGGCCATGATTTTGTGAGGGATGTCACTAAGTAGCTAGGTTTCGGGAGCATCAACACAACCAATAATGATCATTAGAGCATTAGACAGAGCCTTTTCCGCACAGAAACGGCTGAGTGCTGGCAGCTGGACTGTTTGGCCATCTTTGACATCCAAAAGGTTTCACACATTTCTTGATTAAGGAAACACCATATTGGCAGTGCCCCCCCGAAAAGACGGCCTTCCTTTCCACCCAAAAATGGCCACCAATATACCACCATATACCACCCATCACCGCGCGGTTGGACTCGCGCCTCGCGCCTCGCTGAGGAGACGATTGCTGGTACCGGTGAGCCGGGTTGGTCGGGCGATGGAACGGCGGTCGCGGCGCTCTTGAGTGCCTTGGACGCCGATCACGAACCGGTCCGGGCGGTGTCCTGGGCGGGCGTGGAAGAGTGGAAGCACGTACTAAGTCACCAGTCACCAGACTTGACCTGTCGGGGTGTGTGGATGGAATTTCATGGATGTTCATTGATATTCCTATAGTATACATGGACCCCTGAGTAGTGAAACACCGCCCCAAATGCATGGTAAAATATTCCAGTCCCATTGGTTGTATGACAAGACAAGACACCCATGGCCATATTTCGGCATATTTCCCAGATCATCCATGGGACTAGAATAATGATCTACCGCTCCAGAAGTCGACTCCTTTTCAGCTACCCCAACTGATCGGTGAATTTCGGCCCATCAGTCCGGAGGGTCTGGGCCAGTCGTCGCATGGGTCGAAGGTCGAAGTGGGTGGCAAACGTTCTGGGTTGAGAAGTGGGAGATATAACTTTTAACTTATACCCATATCCACTCCATGTATGCCTGCCCCATCGACCCCCAGATGGCACCACCCCTGGCCGTTTTGAAGGCAGTCCGTACACAGTTCGGGTCGTGTTTGGGGTTAGATGGAGGAGTGAAGACTTAAGCAGACCTTTGGGTGATGTGAATTCGCCCCAGACGCGAAAACCAACGACCCGGTGACCAGGTCCGGCCGGTTCCCCGACTGGAGGCTCCAGACCGGACCAGGAGCGACCCGGGAGGGTCAGGACCCTGTGCACGGAGCCGTTTGGAGGGGTCCGGAGCGTTGATGATCTGTGACCACACGGATCCAAGACTTCAGATAGATCCAGATGGAATCCAGATGGGTGAAGGCGTCGCCCTCTTCATTCCAAGTTTGGGCCACCCCAAAAAAAATAGATCAGATCTTCGTGGTTCGAACATGTTAAGTTAATCATGCACATGGCACCTGCCAGATGGCACGGCTTTGGATTTGTTTTGTTTGGAAACATCCTATGCCAGGCCTAAGCTTCGGGGCGTTCTCCTCGTTCAACTCGTTCTCTAGAAGCGAAGCTTCTTCTAAGCTCAGAACTTCTTTCCCCCCAAACCCTGGTTTTGCTTAATTAGGACGATCTTTTTTGCTTTCAATTGTGAATCCCTCTCACATGGGGAATCTGTTTATTTTCCCAGGGAACTGGGTCATGCCGCAAATCCGACTCCGAAGACTCAGAACTACCAACTACTCCGATCACGTAGTACGTGCCATCAGTACCTCCTGAGAAGGTACCACCGAACCTCAGGTTCGGTACGACTGGAGGCCAAACGGGTCTACGCGCCACCCAGTCCTCCCCCAATCGCGCGGTGGTACCTGGCGCGGTGGTACCGCGCGCGATCTCAGATGTCCCGCTGGGCCTGGCGGTGGATAGCGGCAATGGGGTGCTCTACGTGGCCGACTCGGGCAATCATCGGATCCGCGCGGATGCTGGGACGAAGAAACCGGCGGCTTTGGAAGGAGGGGTTGAAGCCACATCGAACGCCGAGTGGAGTGGAGTCTGGTGAACCAAGCTGGGCCCAGCCAATGAGAGCTCAAAATGACGGTTGTTGTGAACCAGCCAATCCTATAATAAGCATCATGCTATGTTCACAGCACATTCCTTGCACATCGAACATATGGTGTTCTTTCTGCTGCTGCGTGACCTTGGCTCAGGTGACCTTGGCAACAGGGGAGTACTATCAAGCAGAAGAAAATCGCACGAGTTCTGGTGCCAGCACAGACACTGTCAGGCGGGTAATTGATGTTTTTGAGTTGCTACAGGAGACTTCATGGTCCAAAACCGATTGCGCGGGCATGTGTCCATCGCCCCTGATTGCCTCCATCGCCCCTCGTGAAGCCTTATACTGATTTGCCCTGCCGTGGCCGGAACACGGCCTCCAGCTCGGATCGGTCCGTCTCGTGCGCCGACTGGTCCGCACGACGGGAGAGGCTCCATGGACCGAAACAGCAATTGGTGTGTCCCCTGACCTCTGCACCAGCGGCGTCTTCCCTGCTTTTGGGCAGCGGCTATTGCAAAGGCGCGCGGTTCCACGCCTGCGGGTGACGCGTCGATAGGATGCGGAGATAGGCGTGGTGGCTCCCCAGAGCGATGGCCAGATTCCTTTGAGGCAGGTCAAGAGAGCAAAATCAAGGGAATCGATTGCCGAAAAGATGGAACCGGCTGTGAACTTAGACTTTGATGACATTAAATCAAGTGGTTTCTTCCTGAGGACTTGGGTACAGCGGTGCCGCTTTCACTGTGGGTTTCACAGGGGTCCTTTAGCAGCAATGTCTCAAACTGGAATCAACTGGATGCCGCCCAAAAAACATCAAAAATCAAAAACTGCACTGCACTGCTTTACAAACAATACTGGTATGTGTGGGTCGCGCTTATTATCGCAGATGATTTTCGAGCTCAAGACACGTCGGCACGTCTGCCATGAAGAAATACAGCGTTCTTTGTCAGGCAGCACTGGAGCTGGCTACACAGACTTCTCACAGTCCCACGAGGAGATGTCGCACCCGAGAACGACACATTTCGCTGGTCCGTCGTCTCACGAAACCCAAGTTCAATTCATCGATGGACACTGTTAACAGTTGTTTTTTCACGGTGCCTTGATCATCTCTGGTCATCCGAACCCCACACTTCTCAACGGTTTGAAGATGAAGAAGCTTCCGGGTGGTCGTGAAACATCTCTTCGAAGAGAAGCGTTCCCGTGCCACGGCGCGTCACACGGACCGAACGGCCGGAAATTCGGCAGCAAGAAGGTCACTTCGAATGCATGGCGAGAAGGCGGCTTCATCGACGATGAATTCAAATAGTTTAGTTCTTCCCTTCGTTCTATACATAAAATGAACGAGGCCAATGTAAAAATATTTAAAAAAAAAAACCCATGCGAGAAAGGTGAAAGCAAAAACAAGTAAATTTAGACATTAAATATTTTGAAGAACATACCTTTGAAGAATTGGGGTTATTCATATCATGTAACTTGGCCCATTTGTAGAGGTCAAACCAGGGAGTGCAGGCACAGGTCCATTCCTTCTCGAGGAACATTCGGCCAACAAATAAGGAACACTATACATGTTCTGTAACTTCTTTTTCCACGTTCTTCCATACCGATCCAAACGGCATGAAACATGTTGAACAAAAGAAATGCTTGCAGGCTCAGGATGCTTTACAGTATACATGTGCCCCCTCCTCCCCGGTCGGGTCTGATCCACCATGTGCCACCATCAGCCCACACCGGTCCCCAGGGGCCCAGATGCCTGGGACTGGAAGAATAGTATACATTTACCCCATGAAAAGGACCTATTAATGTATAAGTACCCTAGGCTTCCAACAACCATTAGCTTTTAATGGTCTTTACTATACCGAACCACCATTTGTTACGGATTTTACACAACAAACACTTCCGGTCAACCGAACTCTTTGAATGGTCGGCTTCCGAAGCCGTTACGGATGGTGAGACACTATTCCAGTCCCATGGATGGTCGATACACCTACTGTTCCGGATGCCGTAGGATCGGCTGGATTTTCACGTCGAAGCCTCCCATGGGGCTGGCCGCCTGGGATGAAACGAGGAACGCAGGTGTTCGTTTGTACCGCGGCGAGATGGCGTAGTTGACGCAGAATCATTTTGATTCATCAACCACCCCCTGGCTTTGAAAGCACCAGCCAAATACCCTTCGAATAGCCAGTTTTAAAGGAGATTGTGACGTGCACATGACCAGACATATCAGAGAATATATAGTCTATTCCAGTCAAAGACAATCAGCTTTTTACTGCCTCATCCTACACTGCAGCTCGTGTCCCAGGCACCTATGAACTTCGCTTTCGCTACGCGGATCGCTACAGCGAGATCCGATCGCCTGGGAATCGTCAACTGCGTTTGCTGGTGAACGGAGCCCCTGGGACTCGGAGAGCTGCAGCGGCGGAGCGCTTTTGGATTGACATGAGGGTTTGAACACAGGAGGAGGAGCTGCTAGGATCGATGGAGAGGTCAATAGTTACACTTATCCCGGTATCCCAGACACGACCAGTCTGGGACTGCCAGTCCGGACTGCCGAGAAACGGCCAGGGGTGGTTTTGAGGGTCTGGCTGGGGCGGCAGTCCTATGGCAGTCCCATTTCGCTTCGGAATCCGCTTGAAATCCAAATCTGCAAGTCAGCCAATCCGGAATCCAGGCTGCCACATGCAGTCGACGGCTGACTGGGTGAAATGAATCCAACGGAATCCAATCCTGGCATGCCACTTGCCACTTGCCATGATCTGGGCTAGGTTTTTGTATATATAGCAGTAGCAGATACTAGCAGATGATGTTTTGGTATCGGTTCCTGGGTTCCTGCAACTCCAAGTGGACAGAGGTGGACAGAGGCTGTCCACAAGCGGTGTGCACATAGACCAGCTTGACACCGAGACCGTTGGACCCTTGTTGTTGCCTGCCTGGAGACATCACCCGATGCTCCGATGCTCACTACAAAGGACCCAAGGAGTGAACACCCAGGTGTTCCTCGTTCATTGACCCAGAAAGGTTGGATGGTTTGGTACATCTTTGAGGCTGCACTTCTTGGGAGACCCTGTCAGTGACTAGAACCCTGTCAGTCAAAGAGAGAGTATAGACCAAAATTGCCCAGCAGTTCGCAGGGTGGTTCACTCTTACCTTTTATTCTTGTTTGTAGCTAGATCTTCCAAGTCTGCGAAATTTCGGCCTTTTATCTACCCCAGACCATCTATACTTACATTAAGGTCATCTTCATGGGGTAAATGTATACTGCTCCAGTCCCAGACATCGTTTGGTCGACTCTGGGTAGACTAACGCAGCCACAAAACCGCGGGCAGATGTTCTTAAGATCCCTTTCGACATCTTCTCCGACGACTCCATCCAATCGCTCGCCCCGAGGTGGTCACGACCGACGCCTTGGTCTTTGAGCCCTCGGGCCCCTTTCCCTCGGGCGGATGCTCGGCTCAGTCCGTGGGCACGGGAGCGAAGCGCTTCAGCGAAGCCACGCCGTAGTGGTTGAAGATCTGGGGCGTGTATGCCCCAGACCGGGCATCCATTCAGTCCGAGGTCTGAGCCGAAGGGTGAGATCGGTGCAACATCACCCGAAGCCAGGTCGGAACGACTACTGGTGGAGCGTGGCCAGCGCGAGCTTCACCTCTGGTACCAACCTCGTGCAGTTGCAGGTGCGCTTGGGCCGGGCCGGTGGGCGAGCTGGGCTGCTGGAGTCGCCGGCCTCTAAGACTTAGGTTTTTTTGGAGATGGAGACTTCTGGAGATCTCTCACTGTTCCCTACACCGACCCGTCGTACCTCGCGGTTCGGTATGACTGGACCCTGGCAGGCACTGGCACCCGGGCCGGTCGTCCCACCGAAGCGAAACGAATGTACGACTGCCTCTCACTGTTGGACTCGGTGGTGGTGCTTTTCTGCAAAGATCTGTTCTGACGAGTTGCGTCAGTTGCGTGTAGAGAGCTGAAAGCCACTACCTTAGCTTTTTCGAGAAGACCTTAGCTTTTTAGTGTCTGAATTCGGTGTTGTAATCTGAGATCGTAAAACCATGCTTCTTCGGGATTCAACATGATTCAACTATATAGTAATCCTGGACTAGATAGAATGATGGGAAACTCCAAAACACATCGGAAGACTGGTATCAACTGCTGAAACTCCAAAATCACATGAAACAGGGAAGACTGGTATTTCACCTGCAAACACATAGTATTCGGATGGGTTCCTTTTCTATCTACTTTCCGGATGAGACTCCGATGGCGTTCTCTTCGACCGTGTCCGTCCTGCAGGTGACCAGCCACTGGGGTCCCAGGATCGACCTGCTGCAACAGGGTTGATGCAACGGTGGGGCAGGATACCTGGTGTGGGGTGCTATCAGAGGTGATCTACAGGAAACCCTTAGGCGGTTCACATGCCCCCCCCAAAAGGTGGGTTTCCTCATTTGGGGGCCCATGTTCAACCTTTGGAAAGGAAGGAAGGTAGGGAGGTAGGTAGGTAGGAAGGAGGTGGCCCCGGATGAAGCTGCAGGAGGAAGGATGCATGATGATGACTGTTTAGGATGATAGTCACATAAAGTCACGTTCCCATGGCTCCAGGAAGCCTTGCAAAAAAAGGAACACACGGATGATAAGGAGGTCCATGAACAAGGATTTCTCCAGGAACGGATGATGTTCTCACTGCCTCAGTGTGCTCGAGCACAGCCTCAGTGCTCACGTTCTGAGGTTCTCGGTGCCATAGCTGCCGGGGGTTACAGCGTGTGCTTCAGAGGTGGTGCTTTCAGAATGTAGGAAGAATCGGTTCTTTCGTCTTTGGAATAGAGTTCCCAAGACTTCAGAGGCATGCGGCATGCTGTGGGGGTGAAGAAAGTGACGACGGTTTATGGAATGTCGGTCCGGAACAGTTGTACTTCCAGAAGACCTCATTTGAAGCTCTGAAATCGTTCGAGTCCAAACGCATCCACACCGAGTTGCTTCTTAGCCTGCTCTGGATGGACACCATTCAATGGCCCAGCCAACATTGAGAATATCCAAGCACTGACCTCATGAGCTGGTATGGTCGAGCTATGACGCATCCCTCCTGCATCGGACGCGTCGGTTCAATCTCCAGGTACTAGGCGGACAGGTGGGCCACTGCCCCACTGAGCTAGGGTGTGGACCGATAAAACACCACAATCCAATGCAAAGAATCGTGTTTCGAGCGAAATGGAATCATGCAGATGATACAGTAGGGGTTGTCCAGGCCTTCTCCTGCACGATCATGTCCACACTCCGCCTCATCACCAGCACCTGCCTCAGGCAGTCACGAAACTGCTGGGATCTTGGATAGCCCGAAAGGAAGATCCCAGGTAGAAGTTGTGACACGCTTTAGAGACTTCATGTACTGGGCAGGATATTCCATACATGGGAGTCTTTGGGCCCGGCTAAAAAGTGGTGACACGCCCCAGAGACACATATGATCCATCATGTCACTATACGTAGCGTCACAGACTGGGCCTGGTTCCAACGCGGTGTGTCGACCCGCGGTCCGCGCGACGTGTCGTCCAGGTATGTCTTGCCACCGCTGCCCGCGATCACCACCGTGGCTGGCACGGGCGTTGGAGCGCTGCCTAGCCCTGAGGATCTGACGACGGCGCAGAGCGCGACAGCGAGCACTCTGCGGACACCATCAGGACACCCGGTGGGTTTAAGGTTGAAGAGGCGGGTAGGCCTTTTCAACCTGGCAAGATGCGGCCAAAACAAGGGTTAAACCAGGTTAAACCACCGAAATTGTTGAAGATGGATGAAGATGGTGATTTGATGGTTCATTTGCCTCCTTTCTTCAGATCAGCGAAATTGGCTCCACGACACCAGACGAGGTCGAAAACGTCGACCGTCCGCGTCGTCGCAGACGTTGGAAATGGCCAGGTTTGGTCTTGGACGTCGCCTCGCAGCTGCTCTACATCGCCGACACCGAGAACGGCCGCGTGCGGCGCCTGGATCTGGGCGCCGGCACCATCAGGAGACGTGGTTTTCGGGAGCGGTGGGAAAGAGCCAAAAGGCTAGGATTCCAAGCCACCATCCTTGTTTTGTACCAAAGAACTGTTGTTTGACTGATTTTGGGATTACAACACCAGCTCCACCGTCCTTAGTTAGTCTTAAAAGGCTAGGGATGAAGAATGACAGGCGAGGTTCGGTGGTGCATGGCCCCCCTGAGAGGGGGTGGGTGGGTGGTAGCAGGCGCTTGTGCTCGCTTCGTTTGTTGTTGGAGCCGTTGCTGTAGCTGGCAGCTAGCATAGAGCCGTTGCTGTTGCATGATCTTAGCCGTTGTAAAGATCTCCTGTTCGGAAAGGACAGACTGCCGGATGTTCTTGCAGATCCTGTGCCGAAACAGCAGTTTGTACAGTGCTCGCCAGTGTTTCCTCAGAGCATGATCCAAAGAACAGGTTGGATTAGTGGTTGGATTAGTGGTTGGATTAACATGTGACCAGCTTCGCACAATGGGTTGTTTGACGTTCCAAGCCGGGGCTGCAGGGCCCGGACGCGGTTGGTGCCCGGAGCTTTGATGCCAGCCCAAGAAGACTTTGCAAACATGAGTCGTTTCGGAGTGCATTTGGTGGTTCCACTGAAGCTCGCTTGGACGCTTGGGATGTCCGTTTGGGTCTCAAGACCTTTGACGTGCGTGGGAGGACGATCGCTGGTGGCGCCACCACGGATGAGGCAACCGCGCGCCCCCAGGGTTTTCGGGAAGTTCACCTGAAAAAGTGGATCACCGGAGAACCATGGACCCAGGAACCCGACTCTCCAGCCGACTTATTATAAGAGGTGATTTGGGGGGGGTCCAAAAACCACCACACGAACGGAAGGTCCTGGGATCTAACGACATAAGAAGACATCATCATTCCCTAGCGATCTAAGTACCGTCTCAGAAAGTCATTGGACCCTCCAAACCTATACACTGTTTTTCACGCATCGCCTTCTCGGGTATGTGGATCATGGTGGATCCCGATTTCACCATTTGGGGGGGAGGCCATTGGTAAACCCCACTCAGAGGGTGGAGCTGGTGGAGCTGGTTCGTTCGCTGGCTCGGGACGTCCAGAAGATCGAAGATCGAAACACGGACCCGACTCGAAAAAGGTCTCCGTTTGGGTGGGTGGCTGAACGTGCCAACAACATGTCGCAGTTGTGGTGACCTGGCAGGTTGGAGGGTGCTGATAGTTTTGGGGGTGAACACAGGTGAATGACCAAGATTTCCAGATTTTCTGGTTCCCTTGACACCAATCATTCCGTTTTGATCCGACAGGTGACGGATGGCCTTGATGCTGCCAGCCGCAAGCTCTTCCGGCCGATGGGCTTGGCCTTGGACATCACGAGGCGACCGAGACAAGCGCCAAATCCGCGCGATCAGGGCGCAAGGTGGTGGTTTCCCGAGTTGACTTGGAGGCCTCCGGGTGCATTGCTGGAGTTCTTCTTTTTTTTGGGAGCTTGGGTGGAGAATACATCTTGATACGGTATCTGTGGCTGATTCGGAAGAACAGAAAAGAGCCTTTCAGCATCTTGTGTTTTTTATTGTAAAGGGTCCATGTGAGTTTTTTTTCGGGAATCTAAGGCGTTGTTTGGGGCATAAACCCAAGTTGGATCCTCCAAAATAGAACATGACAGAAAGTGCAACATGACTTGACAAAGCAAGTACGACTGTACTCATGTTCCGAGGTACACCCTGAGACTCGTTCCGGTATAGCCCACAACTCGCCGAGCCCCGTCCCGAACAGAGTCATTCATCCCCCACGATGACGACCTCACCGCGACGGGCGGAGGGCGTTGCTCTATGTCACGGACTTCCATTTGAACCAACTTCGCCGCATCGATTTGAGCTCCCACATCCTCACTGGAGGCGCAGATGAGATGTGGGAGAGGAGTGGAAGTCTCCAAATTCGGTCGAGTGGAGTGGAGCAGAACACAGATTCCAACAGGCCTTGCTTGGTCTAAGCAATGACGGTGACGGTGAAGGGGAGGGTGTTTGTGTACGATGTTTCGTGGAAGACTGATGTTTCGGGATTGATGGTTGACTCAGGGGCCCCAGGGGGGCCCCAGGTCCGATCAGATTTACCTGCCAAATCCATTCAAGTCCTGAACATCAACATTACACCGTGGAAGATTAACATGGAGCCTGAAAACCACTCGGTCGCAGAGTAGAGGAGAATGACAATTAGTTTTCGGTTCATGCCATCAGGTTCAATGTGGGTCTCTTCCCGGGAGTAGGTCCAAAGACCAAACATGGTTGATGCAGAGTCCATTCTGCAGCTGCCTGAAATTGACCCATCACGGAGACTGTAAAACAGCGGCTTGCATTGTTCCAAGAAGTTGAAGATCAATCAACAGAATATATGGGTGTGAATCAAAACGATCGTGCCCTAACCATTCTATCAATCTGATGACCATTCATGCATGCTCATGCTCATTTAAATCCTGTCCAAACATTCCAAACCGAGGCAGTCATGAGGCTGACATAGCGGGTAATTGGAGGAAGAACACTTCTTTGCTCAAGGCTCAAGGTCTTTTAAACAGTTCATACCAGCACCTTCAAAGGGGTCACCAATGGAAGCCCCTACAATACTATAGGGATCTTCACTAAACACCCCTTTGAAGGTCCAGGTCTTTTCTGCTTGAGAAGGGAGCTTTTCCTCGCTCTCCCGTCCCGTCGTGGACACCCGCAGCGTCACTATAGCCCTCACGAGGCACGATCACCAGCGTGACGGGCGCAGCGTTGGGTGCGGGCTTCGAGCTACGTTTGCGGAATCCCATGGGGCTCGTGCTGGACTCCAGCGCCTCTCGGTGGATTGGTGGATTGGTGGTGACAGGGTGAAATCGTTATCCCCAAATAGATACCGTAGAAATCAATACATGTTGAATGGAATTTTACTTTTAATGTTAGATCCTGATTAGTAAAGGGGGATCCCCCCCCCCTCCCTCAAACAAATAGGGGACACTCTACAATAAACTACCACCAAAACAAATTTGGATTCCTGTGAGAATTCCTTCTTGTAATTGATTGTAGTATTCATTTTCCTTGCATAGATTGTATATCAGCTAATGAATCATAATCATTGGCCTCAGGAGCTAAGTAAAGGAAGATTCCATGAACAGTTTTTTCCAGTGGAAAAAACTTTTCACAATTGAGAACCCCTAAAACAAATCTATTATTGATGACCAGGTGCCTTCCTGGTCTACTACCTTGAAAATTTGTTTAGGAGCAATGTTTTATAAAGGGTTTAATTAGGAATTGGTGGCTTTGGAAAGCTGTCAGTTTTGAAGAAACCTAGAGAAACCTATATCAGCTAATTAATCATAATTGTTGCCCTCAGGAGCTAAGTAAAGGAAGATTCCATGAGTAAAGGAGGATTCATTCAGGAGCTCAGCTCAGCAAAGGTGCAGTCCATTATTAATTAGGTTTCCAATATAAGGTTTCCAATATAAAAAATAGGGTCCCCCCAAAAAATATTAGCAGTATTCAGGACCACTTTTTCATGGGGTCTGGAATAATTTTGGAAAAAATAGCATTATTGAGGAATCCATTTACTAATCAGCGTCCAACATTATATATTTATTTTGTTGGGGTCGCTATAAGGAGACACACTCCCTGCCATCATATATGCCATAACGGACATCCGAGATTGGAGCCATTTTCCGCCTCCATGATGATCAGGGAGTGTAGCTAGCATTGCCTGGGATCCAGCCCATCCCAAATTCAGAAAATGGAAGGAGCGAACGATCAAGAAAATAAGACTTATACAGACTCTTCGGAGTGTAGTTGACCGCCACCGTTACCACCAGGGCCAGGTTTTTCATTCGAGAAGGGAGGGAGGAGGATGCACAGAGACGGGCAGAGTCCGGTTTTTGTTCGCTCCTCAAGCGGGTTTGGTCCCAAAAAGATGCCAACAACCCCCCACCTGGAGTCACATGGAGTTGGGTGGTGTTTAGTCCCATCCAGTGAGTGGAGTAGCTGGGCACCCCTATCCTCCAAGTTCGGCACCCCTTCGTGACTGCTGGCACGATCTTCTTCTTTGAGCGTGGTGTTTTTTTTAAGAATGATTCCAAGGGAGGCTGTCAGAGGTGTGGGGACCCAGTTGGGGACCCTAAGTCATCCCAATTCTTTTGATTTTTGGGATGTGACACCATTGGTCACTTCGCTTTAGTTGTTACTACTTGAGATCTCGAGACAGTGGGTCACACCTTCCCCTGATTCTGCGACCCCAGGAGCCAGTCCAGGAGTCTTCCTCGGCGGTGTCTTCCTTGGTCCAAGTGGTCCAAGGGTCCCGAGCCCAATTGGGTCGAACCGAACATGTTTTCCGTGTCTTTGGATTGGGCCCACTGTGTAGCCATCACTATATATAGCCAGCATGGATTGAATGAGTTGAATATGTTGAATCAAGTTAACATCCCGAAGAAGCCTTTTATCATGATCTCAGGATGTGCCCCAATACCAGGTCAACTGAACGAACATGATGTCATGGTCGAACGGGTTCACCACGGTTTTGCGGCGCCACCGGCGCCCCAGCCCGCCCCGCCACCGCCCAGACTCAGCTGCTGTACGTGGCGGACGCCGGACAAGCGCGGCTGCGGGTGGTGAACCCTTTGGAGTCGTGTAGTGCAGAGCTGCCACCGCAGTCCACACTGCAGCCATGCAGCGAGCTTAGCAAAGAACAGCGAGAAAAGAATGCATCCAAGCGAGAAAACGCATCTCTTTTGCTGCTTGGAATTGATAGAATTTGCTTAACTAATCAATGAAATATGCAAGGTTGATCAACGTCCGGCATGAATGCCATCCAACATTTACTGTTCTATTCTATGACGCTATCTACTCGCACGGAACACTGTCCAAAACAGTTGAATGTTGCTCATTCATTGCCTCTTGTCTCACCAATCACACTGGTTCGGAGTCAACCCCCACACACTTTACATGTACGGAATCGCTTGGGTCCTTGAATCTTCATTGAACTGGTTCTAAGTTGTTGGTGGCTGATGCATCAGGATGTCGTTTTTAGCACTGTCAGGGTCAGCAGCCGGAAGGATTTGTTTTTATGTTTAATTTATTGTTCGGATATTTGTTCCATGTGTCAGCAATCCCTGTTGGTGTCAGGAACCCTCTACCATCCTAGATGGTTCTCTAAAGAGAATGGGCATGAATGGGTTGAACGACCCCTCTGTGCTAATATCAAGGGAAATTGTCAGCCACCGTTTCCTCGAGCGTTTGATAAAGCCGGCGTGTGCCTCACGTCGGCACGTGCCTCAAGCAGTTCTTTTGGGAAACCCTAAGGCCCTAAGGATCCGGACCCGAAACAAAACAAGGGTTTTGAGTCTTGAGGGTACCAACCCCTGCTATTCAACCCCTAGCTCCAGGGTCCAAGGATCCTTAGGATCCTTAAGGAACAGGTTTTCAACCTTGACCTCCTCCGCACTGGGGGACAGACCTTCCGCGCGTGAACTCTTTTGATCGGAGCTCAGGTGGACAGCCGGGGGTCTCTGAAGCCGACTGCTTGTCTTTAGGAGATGCGACACCTGTCATGTTTTGCGTTGAAGTTCGGTGCACTTGGCTTGGGATTTGGGTCGACCTCGATGGTGTCCCCAGAAGAATTCGAACGGATGCAATACAGAACTGTGCAGAGGGGACCTCAGGATCATCTAAATGAGAATACTAACCCCAAGCAACTCCACTTACAACAAAAACACACATGCATCAATTAAAGCCCAACATATGTCACAGCAGCCAGCCTACTAGTGCAAACACGGCTCCGGAAAATTAAAATACAAACATCAAACAGCCCAAAGCTGGCATGACGGCGATTCTCCTTCGATTTTGAGATGCAAGCTGCAAGCTGCACAGGGTTGAACAGCTCAACGAAGTGGGTTGTCGCATGGAACCAAGGCCCAGATACATTGACCGCCCAAAACACCTCAACTGATTGGCAAATATGGCAGTTCCATGGAGTGGGAGTGGGAGATGCCACATGCGGGCTGCCGCATGTGGTTGGGATTGTGGCTGCCCTTGGCTTCGCTGGATGGATGGGCGATTTGTGGTTGGTTTGCCGCTGGAGATGTTCAACGTGGGTTGTCCGGATGGTTACATGTGGCACTGACAGCACTAGATCCAACAAAGCAAAGCACACTTATGCCAGGGGTACTTGTACTATCTTGTACTACAGAGGCTCCCCTTAGCAATTTGGGAAGAGCAAGAGGGAGACATGAGAAAAGACCGCCCGCAGGATGTTGCTATGAGAGCAATTGCGGGCTACCTCCCAATCCGGATGGTCGGGACACGCCCGGCTTTCAACCGGAGGAGACGGCGCCAGATCCGCTGGGACGGGTTTCCTGGATTTCCTGAATCCAGGGCGCCATAGGGCGCCAGTTTTGGACGTTTTCCCAAGAAAAAGCAGGAAGTATGTGGATGACCTGCAAGAGTTCTTTTTGGGGGGAGTGGGCAGTGGATGGCAGTGGGGACATCCCGCGTTTGCTGAGACATGCGATTCACCGTTGCCCAGACCAGTCTGGGCTCGGGTTCATCTCTGCAAATATGCCAGACACGACCCGTGGGACTGCTATATTTGCCGATCAGTTTGGGTGGTTGACCTGGGGTCAATGTAGGCATATATTCCATATATGGAGTGTTTGGGAAGTGTTTGGGTCAAGGTCGGAACGACTAGTGTCAGACCAAGGTGATCGGAGGGTTAGTGGAGTGAAAAACCATGAAACACCTGATTCTCACTGCCCTATACGAATCCTTACCCAGACACTCCATGTATGCCATAGATGCCTACATTGGGCCCTCAAACCACATGGAGCGTTTGGGTTATGGGCCCTCCATGGCAAGGGTCGGGCCCGACCTCTTGGCGATGGCAGTCCCGACCTCTTGGTGTCTCGAATCGAAGAGTGAACTGCGAGGACGTGCTGACGAGGGTGGATGGTGCCAAGCTGGATCCACCGATCTCCTTTGTGAACTCAGGCAGGTACGTGGACTGAACGTGGACTGAACGGGAGATGGAGGGTGTGCCACTGGTCCTTGCTGCCTGCTGCAGTCTTGGTGTCACAATCCCTGGCCCTGTCGGGCTCCAGTCGTACTCGTACCTCCGAAGCGGTTCGGTATGACTGGACCCTGGCACCGATCCCACCTTCTGTACGACTGGAGCCCTATATAGGGAATATATTGTCATGTTATATGATCTTCAAAAAGGGCCACACAATCCGATCATGACGTGCCTGCCTTCTGGATGGTTCATGTGGTTGACCTCTCAGAGAAGCAGGAACTCGAGGGCAGATGTTCCTCATCTCTGGCTCTCTGGGAGTGTTGAGGGGAGAAGCAGAACTTGGCAATGGTCTGGTCAAATATAATGCTTGGTTAATGCTTAATTAGACATGACTACTACTATGACTATATAGACTATAAGATACACTTATCTATCTATACATTTCAAATGATTTCAGCAGCTCAACTGGTCTGGTCATTGCTTGGGTCGAAGTCTGAGAGCATCCATGAAGAACAACTGCCTCTCGTCACAACTGCTTCAGCCCGGGTCTCCCCGACACCGATAGTAAATCTACTTCCAAATACTCTCCCAATACACTCCATATTTTCCTTCTGACCCCTTTGTGGATCTGGCTAAGGCACGTCCGTTCGGCGCTTCGCCGCCGAGAATGGCGTTGGATCCGAAATCTGCACATCCCTGGGATCCGTGTCGGTCACCGCGTCACAAGTCGTCCGCGAGGAGGCCAGCAGTGCTGTCATCCCAATCTCCGCGCGATGAGCACGCTGGATGTCACGCCGTGGCCGCAGGGCCTCGCGTTGGATAGCGGCACCAACATGCGACCCGGTTTTGAAGGGAGGGTGATTTTAAGGTTTCTTTTGTTTTTTTATGGCTTCTATAGTGGTGAGGTGGCTTTGGTGGCTTTGATGGCCTTTGGTTTCTGTGGCTAAAGTCCCGACCCGTTTTGAACCAACACAGCTATGTGACCAGATCGGGTGGGTGAATATGGTTCCTACCCAAGAAGTCTGTGGATCACCTGCAAAACCTTTTTGGGGATTGGGTTCCCCACTAAGTCACTAGACATGAGTGAGTTGCGGCCATGGACTGTTTTCCTATTCTTCCTTTGGGATCCGCGCGTGTTTTTGTTGTCGTGACAAAATTGGACCACACGACTGTGCTGAGAGCTGGGTGAGCTGAGGTTGTATGTGTCTCAGGGCAAGAACCATCGGGTGGCCAAGACCTCAGCACGGAGAGAGCGATAGATCGACAGAGAAAGAAAGAGAGAGAGAGAGAGAGATAGATAGACGGATAGATAGATAGATAGATAGATAGAGAAAGAGAGATCGACAGAGAGTCATGTCATGCAACAGTCTGACTGCAAAAGGCTATAGGCACTATAGAACGTGCTGTGTCCGAGTTGCAGTTGGCCGGAGCTTCCGCGAAAAAGCACCATGCAATGCTCAGGTAAGAATTCATCTTGACGATGGTCGGTGCATCTCAGTGCTTTGGTTTACAGGCTTACAGAGTTTGTGCATCGCATGTGTTCTGTAGAATTTTCGAGGCTTTCAAGGCCAGAAGTTTGGTTGCAGGTGAAAGGGATGCCCAGAAACGAGTGGAGTGAACATGTTTTGCCTTTCTATATTGGCACGCCCACTCATTTTTGCATGGAAAAGTCCTTGGAGACAACTGTGTGTGTGTATTTAAAACCAAGGGCCACTTTCCCATGTGAGCTTTGTTCGGGAGCTTAAGAAATTCATGATTCATGGGCGTTTCTTCTGCACTCTCCGCACGGACATCGGCCGGAATCGGGACATGTCGCAGTTAACTTGCGAGACTGGCCAGTGTTTTTGACAACAATTAGCTCACCCTAAGAATCATTGGGCTCTCCATGGCAGGGGTCCGGGCCCGAACCAAACCCTATTTTGTTGCTCTAAGTCACCCCGGATTCTTAGGGCTCTAAGTTTACACCCCTTGAAATCATCGTCATCGTCGATAGCACATGATGGCACCACCTGGGACGGGTATTTGGAAGACTCATGGATCGAGCCGGGTGTCTGATCGATTGGCCGCCAGAATGACCTACCCAGTGGGGGGGCAGTTTGTCCAACTCTTGCGGCAATTGGATCCCAAGTGAGTTGAATTTGCCAGGAGTCACAGAGCTCCGAGTGGTTCGGTTCGTCTGCTCCAGGGGCTCTGGATGTGAGGTGACAGGGAACCGACTACCATCATACCTAACCTCCGAACTTGGGACCGGCATCCCGGAGCGACCTGCGACTCTGGGTGAATGAGTTTGGAACATGCTTGGTTCATGGAACCCGCTTCGTGGGCCAAGCATGACCAGTCTCGACCAGTTGAAACTGGCAGTGGCTGGCCATCCACAGCACGGCCCATGAGGATGTCAGGGAAATGTATGACCCTCATTTTCCAAACAAACGGTTGGAAGTCTAGGTCTAGGTGACCTCGAAGAATTTGTTGATGTCTTTTTCCTGTGGGCTTAATGGTTCAGCCTTGGGAGTCGGAGTGCACTCCAAGATTTTCTGGGGAAGGTCAGCCCCCCCTGGCACCCACCCTAACCACCTTCGAAACGGAGGTAGTTGGAACCCCGGACTTCCTTCCGAATCGCTCCATGAGGCTTCCGAAAGCTCCAACGTGTGCTGAGCGCGCGCGCCGGAGCACCGCCGGAGCACCCACGGCCCTTCGATGCACCGCGAGGGCGAAGGAGTCGCACGAGAAAGAGCTGGATTCTCAGATCTGCAGAGATCTCATGGAAGTAAGGCAGGGAATTCAGACCTGGAGATTGCCATGGAGCCCCACAGTCGGGAGCTCCGAAGCGACTCGCCGCAGCGCTCGTCCGGCACAGCCGGAGTAGGTCGAAAGGAAGCCCTTCGATGGAAAGCCTGGGGCCACTCTCAGGTCCTTGGGCTCGGCCCTCTCAGGTCCACGCCGGGACCGGCATTCCACCATCCACGCGGCCACGTACAGTCCAGGTTTCACGGGCGAAGCAGCCGCGCCGCAGCTTCTGGGGGTCCACCCCGGCTTCACCGAAAGTGGGTGGACCTTCTGTGACAAGGGACGGTGATTGCCTGGGCCACAAAGGTTCCGGACTTGCCGGTTTGGACCGTGCGGCTGGCAGACCTGTGGCGTTTGACGCTGCCAGGACCACCTGCTGGGGTCACCACCGTGTGAAGATCGGACGTTCAGAACTCAAGATGACCCAATGGCGCTGTGATGCGGACTGGAATCCCTGCGCCTGCGCCGGTTTCCCAGAGCCCATTTGGGCTCAGAAAGGACCCAACCCGTTCGCCAGGGTGACATGACCCGAAACCAGCCAGGGTGAAATGGTTGGTTCGGGTCCAGGGTCGCCTCTGGGAGAGGTGCAAGGTTCCAATGACCGATTCGATGACAGTTGACCAGACAGTGGCGACGGCAAGTCCGTCTTGGTCTCGAATGGCAGTCTCGAAATGTGTTGAGTTGAGGTGGAGTACGCAGCTGGTGGTCTCAGACCACGGACAGCGTAGACCGTGAAGATCCTGAATCTTTTGTGTCCTCCATCGGACCCAGCACCTGATTCCTTGGCTTCGCTTCACACCAATCACTGGCCGCAGAAAAAAAGCCTGATTTCACTGTCAGAGGATCCAGGTTCCAGTCTGATGGTTTTCATTCTCGAGGTTCACTCCTTTTTTCTCGAAAAGAAGGCCCGGAACCGGAGGCCTTCACCATGCTGACTGCGGCGCTGCAGCTCCTTCCGGAGCCGCCCTCGTCGAATCCGGAGCCGTCGACCAACTGAGAGCGCTGACGGGTCGACGGGTCGACTGGTCGATCGAAGCAACTGCCGCAGTTAAAACTGGGGTCGGTCGCGTGGCGCGGCTGGGACGGCGCATTTTGGGAGGGTGAATGAAGAGCTTTGGAGGGTGAATGAAGGTTCAATAAGTACAGGCAGTAGGGGCATATTATACCCTATATAATTGTAATCCAAGTACCTTCTCAGAAGGTACTTGGAGGGTCAGAAGGTACTTGGACCCTCCAAACCCACCCCAAACACCTTCTCAGAAGGTACTTGGAGGCCAATTAATTACATTATACTATATACTACATTATACTCACTGTTCCACTTCCATTTGGGTCGCATTTGGGTGGTTTGAAGGTTTTTCTTGTGTCACGCGGTTTCTTTCAGTGCTTCAATCGGATTGTTTGGCCTTACTTGTCAGGTCTGACCTGAGCCCACCGATCGATGTTCCACCTCCGACCGAGTCGCAGATGTTCCACTTCCATCGTGTGACCAGACACGACCCGTCTGGGACTGCCATGGGACTGCCGCCCCAAAAAGACCCCTGGCACCACCCCTCGGCCGTTTTGAAGGCAGTCCTGGCAGCCCCAGACAGGTCGTATCTGGGGTTTGAATGGGTTTGACAGTTGCTGTGCTTCGATCCAACTCCGGGCTGCGGCTTTTGGGCTCTGCTTCGATCCAACTCACCCATCCTTGCGGAGATATTGTCGGGTTCCTCGTCGCCGTGAACACGGCATCGACGAGTCTGATCCGCGATGGACGCTGGGCGCTGTTGGGGGGGGGGGTGAGGCTGAGCAACTGGCTGAGCCCGAGGCTGAGTCCGCTGTGACTTGGATCCTGGGAGAGATCAATGCATCTCACCCAAACACTGAGCAATGTATAGACGCTCCCAAAGCATCAGAGTCCGGTCAGTCAAAGAGTGCAGTCAAGATCGGTCATGCCTGGGGTCAATGAATCCGATGTGGATGGGGCTCCTTTCAGATGGTCTGGTTGCGGATGGCAGGACGACTGGTTACGGATGGCATGAGTCGCGCGGATGCGCGAGGGTTTGGTGAAAACATGTCAGCTTGAACATCGGTTTCACTGGGGGTCACTGGAGGTCACTGGAAGGATTCATTCTTCTTGTTCCCTTTGGGGGTGATCCGGGTGCGTGACTGAACATGACCCCACTTTTGTCCGATTTTCATCCCTGAAACTCAAACATCTGCTCCAGATCGGTGCTATGCCCATGACTTCTCAACCAGCTGATTGGGGACAGGAATGTATTCGTCCCATTGGATGGTTTGGGATTGTTCTTTTTGACTCTCATAGGCATAGGCATAGGTGTTCAAACGCATCTCGCCAGAGTTTTCGTTGAGCGTGTCGAAGATCAGAAGTTTTGTTTGGGTGTGAAGTTTGATCGCAGATGCTGTGACCATGACATGGTCGACTTAATATATAACGTGACGAGTGACCACTATTTAAGACCACCAACCACTTAAAACATGTAACAAGTGTTCCTATCAATTGGGTTCTATCGGTACCCATGGCTTGCCTGTGAAGGGCCTTGGCCAAATCCCACTTCAAGTTCGGGGCCAAATCCCGCCGGTCCGAGGACCCGCTCGTGAGCGCGGAAGATTTGAGAGCCTTACCCCACCTGCCGGGCTACATCTATCGTCAGTGGAGACCTTAGACTGGTAGACAAGACGAGGGAAGTCCCAAGGTGGTGTCTTCTTCGGGGTTTCTTGAGGCGAGGTGACGTAAGCACAGTGACCGTCTTGATCCTCCAACTGCGTGGAATGGGGTGAAGTTCTCCAGGATCGATTCATGCCTCCCTACGTCGTAGGGCCCCCCCCCCGCTCTGAGCGCTGTCAGGGGTGTCCAGCCTCGGTGCTCCAGCCTCACGTGTCGACCGCCCACTCGACGTCGGTCCTCCGACTGCGGTGTGTTTCTCCGAGGCGCAAGAGCAACTATCCACGCGCCAACTCTTGGAACCTGGTGAATGGTGTGCGGATCGAGCAGAAGGAAGGGATCTCCTTCGATAAGCCAAAGTTCGTCAAGGCGCCCAAGTGCATTACCTGCGTTCTGTCAATACATGTGCCAAATAGCCTCTCAGGGTGGGGATCACTCGAAGTAAAATAATCAGCTTCTACGGTTTTACAGATACCACATTTCAGAGAATTTTAATCAAACAACTTCTACAAAGCAACGAAAGGTGCTACAAGACATTCCAGGGAGTCTAGTCCGGGCTAGGATTTTTTTGTGTGTATTATACAAGGAAGCAAAAGGACATGAAAAGGACCCGGTTGTTTAAAATTTGATAAAGAAATTGATGTTGCTTTGAGATGGTGCTGGTGGTTGTGATAGTGGCGATTGGAAAATTGTACAAAAGGGAAAAAGGAGTGGCCAAAAATAGCTGGGGGATGCTGGGGGAGATCAGGTTGTAGGTATTCCAACCACCAATTCAGTTTGGAGTCCCATCGGAGAAATCAAAGATCCCACATTTCCATCACCAGCTGCGCTGTGGCCCTCCAAAAGAATTACTAGCTGGCCCACCTAGAAGCGGACCCTTTTTACATCTCTTTCAAGCACCTCTGAATCCTCGCTTTCATCCACTTTCTATGTCAGCCAACCTACCTGGCAGCCTCGGCAAACTGTCGCGGAAGGAATGGGAAAGACTCCTTCACCACAAAAGAAAAAAAACACACACCAGAAAGAACGACATAGACGTCAATGCAGTCGACAAACCCAAACACGTCAATCAAGACACCTCTCCTTGTCGTCGACATCTTGCGACACCTCTCCTCAAACACACCAATAGAGGTTGAAGAACCATGAAGAACCCTATACCAGGGGTCACAAAGGTGTGGTGTGGCTCGTCCCTAATTGAGTGGAGTAGCTGGGCACCCCTCCTAACCTCCGTTCAAAGCTGGCACCTCTTGTTTCAGAACCCTAGTTCGACTATCCCAATTGGGTTTTCCCCCAGGTAGTACGGCCCGGTCGTTCAGCTGGCACCTCTCGTTCTCCCCCGGTACCTCGTGGCACCTCCCCGGCCACCTCACCGCCCCGACCCGATGGACCCGCCGATGGACCCCCAGGAGCCCGTGACTATCGTAGCTACCCAAAACGCCCCACAAACCATCCAAAAACCAGGTGTTCCCAGGCAAAAAGAAACAAATAGGGCTTTTTCTGTGTGAACAGCTGTGTTTTTTCTTTTCCGGCCCGCCCCGTTCTTTCTCGCGTCCAACTTCGCTCCGTTCGATGCCGCGATGCCGCGGAGCGTCCACGTGGCCCGTCCAGGTGAGCAAGCTACCGGATGTGTGGCGCTCCGGATCACTGCCGGACAGCGAGACGCGGGAAGTCTTCAAGACGGTGCCTTGGTGAAGGCACTGTTGGGCGCACCTCCTTCCAAGTCTCCGGTCTCCGTTGCATGGAGGGTTTGGGAGGGTTGGCCCGCCCTAACAGGTTTCAATTGGTGACCTGGCAGGCAGGTGCTGGTATAGAAGATCTAGTTTTAATATGTCAGATATATATTCAGATATTATGATGGATACTACCAGCAGCACCCATTAAACGGCTATTGGAAATGATTTGATATGATGTAATACAGATACAGTCAGTAAGGGTGGTCCTCTGTCAAGCACCCCTTTTTTTTACCGAACAAATTTGACAAATGCGAGGCGACTCTGTTGCATCGCTTTCCCTTCAGGATGTGGTCGAGCTGGAGACCCAGGAACTGCCCGCCTGGGATGCCTTTGACCGTCACGTCTTGCGCTTCAGCGGCTACTTCAAGGAGTCGGTCGTGGAAGCGAATTTGGAGAATCACCGTGCCTCCGCCGACTTTGGACGTTCACCTTGCTTCCGAAGCTTCCGGAGATGAGGACTCGGTGCGAAGTGAGACTCGGGGCCATGTGAAGTTTGGACCCCTTTTGGCAGGAGTCGTTCGCCAGGGTGACATGACCTGAAACCAGGCAGGGTGAAATGGACCCTTCACCAACATGTAGCAGTTGGTTCGGGTCCATTCATAAGCCTTTGGGGGAGGAAGGAAGTTGAGACTGGGAAAGGCGAGGGTGGGTGGTGAGATCTTGACAAAGCGAGTCGGGTGAACGTTCCGGAATTCATGAGAGAATGGAAGCTGGTGTGGAGGCTTCTTCGCTTGAAATTTTGGATGCGACTTTGGTGGAACCCCGGTGAGACCAGAGCAGATCACGGGCAGACCAATGGTGATCAGTCCATGTGAAAGTCCCACCTCAGCAAGTACCTCAGCAATTGGATATACTAAGACCAGTACTAAGACCCCCAAAAGCAGAACTGTCCACCAAAAAAGATTACACCCTGGAAGATTAACTTGGAACTTGAAAACATTTGAAAACCATTGGGTTGTAGAGGAACATCGTCTTCCAGTCTGGGTTCATGCCAAGCCCGGTTCCATGTCAGTCTCTTCCCAGGCGTTTCGCAGGCGTGTCCGGCACTCCTTCTCGCTTCCGCCGACAGCTGCGGTACGAACTGTGTTCTTTCTTCGGCGTGAACGGTACCGCCAAGGCGTGCGAAAAGCGATCATCTACTACTATTTGGAGGACCGGAATGGGTTCGCGTTGAGCCCCAACAGGTGGGACGTCGTTTTGTGGTGATTCGTTGGTCCAAACGGTTAAAGCATTGTTCACCCAACTTGCCACTTTGAAGTCTTCATTTCAGCCACCATAAGTCGGAGACCTGTTGGTCGGGTGCTGGTTCTTTCGTGTGCATTATATCGAGGTCTCGACCTACCAGGCAAAGACCCGGAAGATGGACCATGGACCCCAAAAACCCATCCCTACACTCCTACACCGACTTCGTCGTACCGAACCTCAGCGGTTCGGTATGACTGGACGTACCTCCACCCGACCCTGGCACCCGGACCCCGGTCGTCCCACCGAACCGAAGCGGTTCGGTACGACTGGATCCCAAACGGGATATTGATGGGTTGGGAGGTCTCCTTCTTTTTTTTTCACATAGGGGATGGGTCCAAATCTGCAAGGCTAGGTGGAGTCATGCTTGGTGGGAAAAAACCAGGGTCCGGATCAATTGGTGATCTCCCTATTTCACTGCACAAACGTCCCAGACACCAACCCATGGGACTTGCCATATGACTCCTCAGGCCAGGAGTGGATTTCAGGGGTCGAGATCTGGGGTGGTGTCTTTCTTCCAGTCCCGGACAGGCCTTTGTATGTATCGCATATATAGATGCACACGACTAGTCGTACTAAGTGATGAGAAGATATCCCACAATCAACATACTGTGCTTGTTGACCTCCCTCAAGTAACAACAGCATTTGTTGGAGGTCTGCAGTGTGTAGCATGTTCCCTGCCATGGTCATTTCAGACCCAAACCAGGACCTTCCACGAGGTGTCTATAAATACATATAGCTGTTATAGAGGCTTGGGTGTCCCAAAACCGCCGGACTTTGGAAGGTCCTGGATTACGCAAGGTACGATGTTTGGTGCAACTTCTTACCGACCTGAACCAGTCACAGTTGGTCAGTTGGTCCCTCAAGGCGGATATATATGGGGTTTTCCCGGGGAAGATTCGGGAGAAGATGGGGAAGAGGCCACACACATACACACTTAAGAAAGAGCTTTGAAGGAGCACGATTCATCGAGTTTCAGAAAGTGAGACTTGCTTTTTATATTACTACAGCGATGGACTACCTGAGCAAAACCTGGGAAATGGCCCTGAGCCAAACAGACTGATGGTGGTAAGTCCAGTTGGAAGGCCTTTGTGAGACACCCCCCGCCCCCCCCAAAAGAAGCAAGACTCGAGGACCATCGAAACCTTAGACCCATAATTTAAAATGATTTAAGCATTTTCCATTGGATTATATATGTTGACACATTTTGTTGTTGTTGTTGCTGTTTCCAGTTCGGGAGGTCCTCCCTATTTCAAGTCATATATGTTTTTTGGTATCCACCAGACATCAGGCATTGATGATATTTAACTAGTTTCCCCAACCAGCCGGGAGCGATTTCGTTGTGTCAGTTGTGAACCAGCTGCGAATCCATGAGCTTTCAGCCCTTCGCATCCAATCCGCGACTCGACGCTCCGATTCGACGATTCGTCGATTTGGCTTCGCGGGGCCGAGACGCGACCCTGAGGGGTCTGGGGTCTTATAGGGAGGGGAGGGGTCTCAAACCCCTAGGTGTTGAGGGACCCACCCAGACGCGACCCTGGGCCCGAATCCGGAGGGGTCTGGGGTCTCAAACCCACCTGTCGTGCTGGTTTCCGGAGCATCTGGGCAGGATGACACCTGTCAGATCCAAGAGCCCAAAGTCGACAACAGCGGGATGCCACAAGGCGTGGCGGCGTTGGCCGCTGCGCACTGCGTTGCGCGACGGTGCGAACACGGCGAACACCGCCCGCGCACGGGCTGTGCGTCATGAAGAGTGGCTTGTTGGGAAAGACGACCCTTTGAGGTATGTGTGAGGGGGTCCTGGTTTTTGCCTTTATTTTCCCTGCATAGGTTATATACATCCGCTTCTGGGACATGTCCAGGTTCCTTAAGCATGCCAAAGCGTCGTCCCACGTGCAGGCCAGAGGACAGCTGATGTTCGTATCGTGGGCACAAAAAAGCAGGACCTTCCAAGTCCTGTGGATTTTGGACACCCCTTGACCTCTTTTTGAGGCTATTAAAAAGACTATATATAGACACCTCAAACGGATTTGGTCCTGGTCGTCTTCCTATTAAACACAGTCCCAGACACGACCCATGGGACTGCTCCATGACTCCCGATCAGACCAGGGGTAGATGATGCAGCGAAAAACCCTATAGGGCTCCAAGTCCAAGTACCTTCTGAGAAGGTGGGACTGGGGTGGGTGCCAGGAGGGAAAAGGAAAACGGAAAGGACCACCGTTGCTTCTTCCATGCACGGCCGATCTCGTTGAGTCCCCCCGGACACCCCCGTTTGTTGCCTCATGGTTTTCGCTCCCAAAGCGAACTCTCCACTTCCGATGGAAGTACCACTTCCCAAAGCTCCTTCTCTATGTCCATGCATGGACATGTTTGGAAGCTGATACATGTCGTCCACTTCCAGTTGGTCCACCCCCTGGCCGCGGACACGGCCACCTGCCGGGCGACCACCGGCGTCGCCGGGCTGCTCGCGCCGTCTCCGTGCCATCTCCGTCGCGGAGGTCAGCTGATCCGACGACATCGCTTCCCATCCCCGGAGGGTGGTTACTTGAGGGCCGAGGAGAGGGATCCTTGAAGAAAATCGGCCCAAAGGAAGTGCACCGAGCTGGATGGATGGGTTTTGTGGTGGGACTTCTGAAGCGCTGGGCTTTTAGGCAGCTGGATGGGGTGGTTTCATTCGCTCAAGAGCCAGGGCCAGCAAGCGGAGAGAGCCAGGCTCGTGGAGCCTGGGTGCCAGGTGTCTCTCTTTAATGGGTGCCTGGCGATGCCGGGAGTCAGGTAGCTTGGAGTGCCCGGACCTGACAAGGTGATCCTGCCATATCATTTGTGACATGTAAGCTTCATATGAAGAATGACCCCAGAACGTGGTGTTTGGAAGGTTCATTGTCCAAGAAGTTTCTTGAGGACCATGATGTTGTTTCACGGGTACAAATTACATGTCATTTCATGTATAAGCCAAGATTCCGTTTTTTCTACCTGATTGGGACTGGGCCAGTTAAATTCTAGTTTGCTCAGGACCTTCCAATGATTTTCGATCTGGGAGCCCTTCGTTTTCGGCAGCTGGACCGGGCTTTGGGGGCGTCGCAGGATCTGCGAGTGGGAACCATCCTGCAGATCTATGGGCGCCACATCTTCATCACTGACTGTGATCCCTTCACAAGGCCAATCAGCCAGCGGTCATGATACCCGTTTAAGCTCAGGTGGAGACTGACCCCGCCTGGCACCCACCCACCTCGAACGGAAACGGAGAAACGGCGGCCGAACTGAGCCCTGATACGGGATATGTCTGGGTTGGGACGGCGGCGTTATAGCATGGGCCAATGTTGATATCGAACCAACCAGGCAGTGGAGGAAGAAGTATGAAGAATCTAAAGTAACCAATGACTGAAACAAATGCATGCATACAAATTTATGCTACAAAGCTTCCGTTGAAACATTTGATAACCATGATAACCCCAAAGAACTCAGTTTTATTTTCTATAGGTTCTTCTTTCCGATGAACCCCTCGGTTCATCTTCGAAGTCCTTCCCGAGTGGCCAAGTGGACGGTGTGACTCCTGATTGTCGAAGGTTCAACCACGATCGCCAAAAGTCCACGGACGCAGGCCAAGTGCCTTTGATTTTGTCCACGGACGCTGGCCAAGTCGTAGACCAACAGCTCTGGGAACAAAACACCGACATGAACTCAAGGACAAAGAAAGACGCGAAATGACCAATTCCCAGGACTCCAGTCGTACCTCCCCCCCGTAAACACCTTCTCAGAAGGTACGGCTGGAGCCCTGCGGAATTGGTTGATTCATGTTGATTCTGTCAATCTGAATCCCCACTGCCCCCACTCCGCGAGAGTCACGAACACAGAACCCACACCGCGCAGAATTCGCAGGGAGTACTTTGAGCAGCTGGGCATTCCGCAAGGGCCGACGGAGCCGGAGGAAATGGATCCTTTCCAAGCCACGCGCGAAGCGATGACGCTTGGCATTGCGGCTGACAGGCGAAGCCACGCGAGATGGCGCGAGCGAGCGTTATCTTTGGCGGAGGCTTCTGCGTGGCTTCGGCTGGAGTGGAACTATTTTTGGAATTGATGTTACTTTTATTTAGGTTGGGGGGGGATTGATGTTTTTTTTCTTTTTCCGGAACAGATAGGTTGTGACCAAGTCAGATGCTGAGGAGCAAGGGCATGTGCAAAGGTGACGGAAAGAACGGTTACATGATGTTACATGAAAGATGGGAGGGCATTGTTTGATAGAAAACATCTGGTCTTGAGCCCCGAGGCCACTTCCAGGAGTTATACTTTCCACTACTTTCCATATAAGATTGGGTATGTCCTATATTGTTACCTGTAACAGTCGGTAAACATTTAAAATATTTTAGCGGAAGGCCTGCAACCTAACCATCATCATCCACTGAAACCAGAATGTTTGGGATAGCCCCAGTCCATAGTTATGCAATTTAAAGATCGATGAAGCAGGTACAATCTGTCACCCTCTACCACACTCTCACCTCGTGTGTTGGTGTTTTTTCCAACGGCCGGGGACCGGCGAGAACCTTGGGTCGCCGGTCCCTTGCTGGCGACGAGCTGAGGAAGAACCATGCATCGACCCAGCCTCGAACTTATGAGAAGATCTACAGAGAGGTGCGCAATCTTCTCATCTGCGCGTTCTTGGGATCTTAAGGGTGGAATGACTGGTCACAATTACTCCGAAAGGTACCTCGCATATATGGGTTGATCATAAGGATGATTCAAGATATAATGCTCATTACATCGCGTCACATGTACACGTGAGGTTCGCAACAGTGGTGGACATGGGTGTTTTTCGGCTGAGGAGTTGGTTTAGGGTACTTCAGTCGTTGGCCGCAACGGCGGACTTGCCACAACGTGACACCTCTGTTCACCTCGACCAGTTCGATCCACCTGTTCGACCGGTGCGACACCTTCGGCTTCGAAGCTGGAGCGACCATCTGCTTGGTCGCCACAAACCGTCGCTCACCCCTATACCCTGGAAGTCCAAAGCCTATATAATATATATATATATATTTGTTTTTTTCCATAGTGAAGTAAAGGACAATCCCTTTCAGTCACCCTAAAGACCATTCTTTTTGTAGTCTTTGACTCCCAGTGTATAGATCCATGCCACCGTACCTTAGGTTTGATATGTGTGGATCCGGGCTGTGCGCTGTGCGAGCGATCGGGAATTTGGGTTGCGACCGATGACGTAACTGGAGCAGATCATCGGTTCTATTCGTGGTGCAGAATTTCTTACCAGAATCGCCACCACTTGATGTCGAATGGGCTCTCGAAAGCACGAAAACGAGTCAGCAAGCACGAGCTTGAGTTCATAACTCGGGACTCTTGGATACTTCCTATCCCAGACCATCCATCTATGGAATACTTGCCCACGTTACATTGACGTTGACCGCCCTCCAACCACCCAAAGACCAAAGGATAGTCTGGGTATACATGGGTGACCTCATATGTGTTTGTTTTGTTGTGAAATCCGAACTTGTGCATGTCGTTTCTTTTGGTGGGGGCTGGCTCGCATTCCAGATGTCATTAGCAATTGGACAAAAGGAAGACTCCACTTCCACTGGACACCTATCCCAGACACTCCATGTATGGAATATAGCTGATGATTTGATATGATTTGCTTACATTGACCAATGTATGTCAATACACCACCACACATGGAGTGCTTGTGTATAGCCAAACGAACTCCTGTAGGTCATGCTGGGTGGCGGGCATATCAATGCGGACATGCAGCAGTTCTTGGAGAATGACAAGAAGGCGCAGCTCAGTTTCCAGTCATTTGCCTGGCTTTGCTGAGGATTTTTTTGAGTTTCCCGAAGTGGGTGAATCCCTTTCTGGAAAATATTGGACTAATATGACAATATGTTTTCCTGGGTTTCTGGACAGCAAATGCAAGGTCACAAAGGGCTGCCTTTTGGAGGATAGGGGGTGCCCACTACGCACTCACTTATAGAGACTAAACACATCTAAGAACCATCCCTAGGGATCTAAGTACCTTCTCAGAAGGTGAGGACGGAGACAGTGTGATGTAGGTTTGGAGGGTCCAAGTACCTTCTCAGAGAGTATGTGGATCCCTAAGAACCATCTAAAGACCACACATCTTTTTGTGACTCCTGATCATCCGCTCGTGGACGAGCCGTGGGATTTTGAAACAGATGCAGGGTTCCTTGCATGGCATCCCAACCACGATGTCCTGTCATGGACATGGAAAAGAATCTGCACCACGCGCCAGCCATGATGGTGACCCCGCCCAGCTTGCGTATGTACCCCTGCTTTCTTGCGCCAAGCTGTTGAATGGTAACTCAGGTACATACTCTTGCCGGCGATGTTTGTGTTTTTTAGATCCAAGATGGTGTCTAGCATCTAACATTGTCTAACTGTCATTTTAGCGTGGGGGGACATCACCACACAACGACGCTGGTCAGACCCTCATCTGGAGGGGGTCTGGGATGAGTCTGTAGGGCTGCGAACGGAGCTCCATTGTCAGGGTCCACGTGAGTTTTCAGGAAGGTGCACTCCCTGGAATGGTTGCATAATCCCCCTGGGAATAACCCCTATAGAATGGGGGAGGTCAACCCAAGAATAACCCCTATTTATCACTATAGAATGGCGTTCTCAGCCCCCCCCGGTTATTCCCAGGGGATGTTGCATATTTGGCCACATGGAGTTCACCCCTTGTTTGGTCTTCGGACCACTTATGGGTTCGTAGCATGGAGACATATGGAGACTTCTTTTTGTAGACCCGGCATCGTGAACTCGCATGTAACTCTGGCGGGGCCATTCACGTTGAACGAACCAGGTGTTTTATTTGCAGGTTTGGTCCCTTGAAAAACACAAGAAACATGAGAGCCAAGCAGACTGATGAGTCCACCCGTTTGAGCATATACCTAGAACCTCTTCTTGGGCAGAAATGTCTGCCTATTATGGGTAGAGGCGGCTTTGCCCGTGCTTAGGTGTTCTTGCTCCCTGTAGGCGTTCTTGTCCCCGCAAGGCGTTCGTGTCCGCATTGCTCACATAGATGAGGATCCACCCACTGGTTCCAGGCACTTCCATAGTGAGGTAAGTACATTTAATTATCAGGAATTCACCTGATCCAGGAGTTTCAAAGGGGTGCGATCTATGGAGGTTAGGGGTGCCCATTACCCACTCACTTAGGGACTAAACACCACCCCTTTGTGACCCCTGGATGTTTCTCTTTAGTTTCTATTTTCTCATTGCACAGTCGTATTTATTTATTTTGCGTGGGTGCTCTCCCGTCACTTAGGCGTTCTTACCTGTTACTTGGGCGTTCTTGCCCGTTACTTGCCCGTTCCGGGGGAGTGAGTGACATGAGTTTCAAATACTTTATAGACTGCGGATTAGCGTCAGCTGGCAAGCGTGTGTTTTCTCAAAAGTTGTTTCTTTCCAACTCTGGCTTTGCCTCCTGCATGCAAGAATGCATGTGATTGTGCCTCGGCGTTTTTGACCTTGAGGATGCAGCTTAGGTGTTTTTTGCAAAAACGGGCGGAATGTTCCGCCTCATGTGCCTAAATGATGTTGGGCGGACATTGCCTAACGAGGTTCTAGGTACAGTGCCATAATTCAGTGACATATAATCATATAATACTCAGAAATCTCCAGCCATGTCTTCATGCTACCACTCTTTCGGCACCCTGTCTGCCCAGTCTGCCCTAAAGCCTTCCGCGTTCCACGCGTTTTGGGTGAAGAAACGGAGGTACCTTATAAGGAACAACCCTCACAGTGCAGGTACCTTAGAAGCGTAAGCGATTGGACGGCGTTGTGCATGAAAATAGCTTGGGGAGAGTCAATGAGGGGGGGTCCTACAGCAGCTAGAAATGCTTTCTAGATGTGGTGTTCCTTCTGCAGGTTCTCCGTTTCTACGCGGTCATGGATGATGCGTGGAAGCTCAGTATGACCGCAAGACCCGGGACGGCGTCACGTCCCGCGGTGTTTGTGGGGTATGACGAGGGAAGGCACGTGGCCTGTTTTTTTTGTAGACACTCTGGGCCCCTGGGCTGGGGCTGGTGGCAAAGGCGTCGAGAATGGAGAATGTTCCCGGTGAGGTTCGAAGGTTGGATGGTTTGGGGTTCAGTCGTTCCTACGACTTGAGATCAGGAACCGTTCCTAGCGGTGCAGTGGTTTCTTTTGCGGTGATGGGCAGAGAGCCAAAGAATCCGACATTGCAGCTTTGAGTGAGGAGGAGCCATGAGATGCTTCAACTAGGGCTGGAGAGTTGTTTGGCGGTGTCTAATTCTATTCACATCTTCGAATCTTTGAAGGGGATTCTAGGGATTCTAGAGTGGAGCAAGTGGAAGGTCCAGGGACACGTGGTTCAAGCAATCTCTGTTTTGTTCAGTTCTTGATTCGTGTCCCCACCACCAGATCCATCCCGGGTCCGGGTACCTCCTTTACTCATGGTCGAACGGAGGTGAGTTCGTACTTCCAGGCAACGGCCCTTGCCTGGGGCCGACTGCTGGACATCCAAGCATCCGGGATGTTCTGAACGACCCTTAGGCTATGACGTTCCATGTGTTCGCCGCAACATGCAGCAGCAAAAACAAAAAAGCCGGAACAGTCTGCGCTTGCGAGCGAGGCTCCCGTAAGCGAGCAGGGTCGCTGGTTCAGGCCGAGAAATCGTTTACTAAAGGACATGATCCTGAGATGTAACTGTTTAAAACATACTCAAAGCAAGCAGTTGGAACCAGGCAAAACTACCACATGTATGTTCTATGTTCACCAGGCCCTCCTCACACTCAGATTGAGTAGGACCCACTGATCTCCCCAACCTGTGATCACCTTTTTGGCAGTCCGTCGAGCGCCATGCCACGTGTCGCTGTTCGTTTGGCGGTCTTCGTCTTCTTGGGGCGCGCGTGTGCGGTCGCAGCGGCCACCTGCAACGGCGATGAACGCTTCTGCGCGCTTCCCTTCACCATGCATACCTTTCCGGGAGCCTCGGAACAGGGCGCTCAGCCAAACGGCGTGCCGAAAAGATCGGGCACGACGTCGGGGCGCTGGGGATGTCGACGGGACGTTGGGGCGCTGCCCGGTGACTGGTACGAAGTCCAGCCGGGTCGGCGAGACGAGGCGGAGGGTGGACAATTTGGTTGGAAGATGTTTGAAAGTTCATGTGGTCGTCGACCCTGAGGATCCTCAAATTGTGAGGCTTCAGATCAAGATGAAGGGTCTTTCCCCTGCCAGAGTCCAAGCATCCGGATCGGTTCGTAGGATTTTAGAATGCTTTCCGTTCTTGATGCCAAACTCGTGCGGAACTGCACCCTAGAAGTCCAAAGACTATTCTATTGACCGGCTGAAGTAAGGGAAGTTCCCGAAATCAGTTCCCCTAGTCAGACCATTCTTTTTAGAGTCTTTGACTCCCAAGGTGCATATAACTCCTTCATCGTTTTTTCGGTGCTCATGTCATGGGATCGGTCGCCGAGTCGTTAGGGCACTGAAGGAGGGCACGGGAGTCGTTTGACGCCGGCCCCTCGAGGTTCATGGTGCTTTGAATTCTCAAAGCATATTCACCCACAGTCTTGAGACATGACCCCACCTACCTGGTTCTTCAAAGTGACCTTTTGATAACCTGGTTTGAGGTCACTTAAGCCTGCTAAGGGTCACTTAGGAACCTTCAAAAGGTCACTTTGAAGAAGCTGGTAAGAATGAACCCACCTTGAGACATGTCCCATTCTCAATACCCCTTTCCATGGGACATGACGCCCCCCTTAGGAATCCGGGCCCCTTCAGCAACAGATAGGGTTTGCTGAAGGGGCCCGGAGCCCCTGCGAAGAAGTCGGGTCCGACCCCTGTCATGGAGAGCCCAAAAATAAAACAGAGGTAATGGCTTGTACTCATTCTAGACCAGGAGTCACATGGAGTTGGGTGGTGTGGCTCGTCCCATCCACTGGATAATGGGCCCTAACCTCCATGGATAGCACCCCTTTGGAAGTGCGTGGATCAAATCATCACTACCATCGTCATCAGAAGACATCCATCGTGGTCGCGGGCAGAGATCCATCATCATCATCATCATCATCATCATCGTGGAGAGACACCCACATCCATCCCACCAGAAGAAATCTCCGTGGAGAGCCTTCAGAGTAGTGTCCCACAAGAGTTTTCCACAAGAGTGTCCCGCAAGAGTGTCGTACAGGAGTGACATACAAGAGTGTCCCACAAGAGTGAGTGTCATACAAGGTGTCCCACAAGGGTTCCGACAAGACTGCGTTTGACTCTTCGTCCATGATGTTACACTTGCTCAAAGGAAGGTCCACGGTACAATCCAAGTGCATGAAGCCTCCATTGCACAAGATAGAGTTCGGAATCCACAATAAGGGAGCTTGCCCCCCCCCCGAACCCGGCCTGCTGAAGGGTCCATTGGTCCAGTTGATTGGATGCAAAGTGATGCAAAAATAGTTCCTTTTGGCGGAGTGTCCAAGCACCCAGTGGCACAAACCTTGGACTTGCTGCAACGAGTTCCTTACTTATATGGCCAACAAGACAAAGGTTACCCAAGCCTGTCACCATGCCACGAATTGCAACTGGGGCTGCTGAACATGGTGTTTCTTCCCCAGCGGAAGCTCGGTGGAAGCAGCCACTTGGCCACCGAAGCGCTCCAAGGATCACATAACTCCGGCTCGTTTGATCTGAACATTCCGGAGATCGTGGAGGACAACGTGGCCTGCGCTGCAAAAGGTTTCTTTTCCTCGCCGCGCTGCGAAAGGTTTCCCAGCCTGAGTCACATCTCCCGGAGAACCTCCCGGACGGACCGTTCGTAGCTTCCAAAATGGAACATGACCCGAACAAAAAAAAGACAAGCCAGGAGTCACATGTCGGGGTGGCGTTTAGTCTCCAAGTGAGTGGAGTAGCTGGGCACCCCTAACCTCCATTAAGCACCCCTTTGTGACTGCTGGAGTATATTTACGATGTGTGCATCCTTTTGCCCAATTATTGCCCAGGTACGACGTTCCGGGGTCGACCTGGGTCGGTACATCGATCCCGGACATGAGGGACACGAGGGACACAGCTTGTGGTGAAGAGATGTCCTTCACGCTCTGGCGCAGTCGAAGAGTACAGAAACCGTCCAACACCATGCTTTCGGTGCGTACACTCGCAGACCTATAGTTCTCGGTGACCGGGCGAGGTACGGGTGCGGGGTGCGGTGGTTTAGGAGGGTCCAGTCACACCTTCTCTTGGAGGTGCGACTGAAGCCCTAAGGTGTGGAAATCGATGATCCTTTTTTTTCCATAGTTTTCTTTCGCCCAGCGCGTCTTCGCTGCTTTCGCACGCGGGTGCTGCTTCTCTGGAAAAATCGATGTGTTTCTCTGGGGACTTGCGCTCCCAGGTGGTCGGCTTGGATGTGAATCACGCCTTAGCGTGTTTTTACGACACACACCACATGACGCCTGGCTGCCAGGGACAAGAGTTCGTCGACTGAGTAGGAAGCCCATCTGTTTTAAGACCATAGCGCATGTCAAGGGAAAACCCGTTTTACTTTACTATCAAAATTCAGGGGCTGCAGTTGTGTTGGTTCCTTATTTGTGTATGTGGCCAGGTTACCGGTTTGGTTTTGCTCGATTGCATGTGTCCTAGTTGGAAGATCCAGGTAATACATATAGAATTGGTGCTTGCAAGCCTCCGGTGTTTCTGTGCTATGTGTGTGGACTGTGGGATATGTCTCGGCACAGCAATCCGAACGCAGCAAGCAGGGAATGATACAAATGCCCTTTGACCACCGTTTTTGTTCAGACGTTACCCTCAAAGATCTAGACTGGAAATGGACAAGACTCAGTTGCAAGTGGACCAGATTCATGGATTGGGACTCATTCCTTCTCTTTCTCCGTGCCAGTCGCACCCAGGAACTACCTGGAACAGCTCAACTTCGGGATTCGCTTCTTTATCCCTGACATTTGTACCCGTGCCAGTGGCAAACCGAATACCTTCTATGATTGCCATTCTGCCTCTGGAACCGACGAAAGTATGATGGGCTGGGGAACTGAATTCAACGACAGTGTTCAGCACATGAGAGCCCTGGCAGCGACGTCGCATCGCGGACATGGGCGCGCCAAAGAGAGCCGTAGATAGTTCCCAAGTCAAGGGGTCCTGCGTGTTTCAGCTGGTTGAACATGGTTGAACCAGTCCGTCAAAAACCTATTCTGTGACCAGAAACGGATAGTAAAAAGCACCTCTTCAATGCCTCATATGAAGCATTCATCGGTTGGAAGCTCCTCATCTTGAGACACCTCCATTTCTTCATGCAACAATCACCTTGTATGTTCGATGCCTCAGG